AGTATGGACATGAAGTTTTCTTATTCACCATTCTCCCAACCTAAAAGCGTCCAGGTTCTTCCCTCTCCATCAAGTCAATCAAATCCTTACAAATCAGGCCACGGTAAGAATGAATTCATTACATTGTTTGATTAACTTTCTTTGTTTTTGTCATGATTTTCTTGCATTTACTCTTAATTTCGAATTTCTATTAGATAATGTAATTGTTAGCCATTTTCAATTCTTTTAATTTAGCTACATTTATTGTAATTTTTTTAAGACCCCTAGAAGGGCATAGCTGTTTAGACTCTATATAAAGTCCCCTCACAGCCTTGTATTTTTCACACAGTCAATAAACAACCAAGCATTTTCTCAAAGAGTTCTCTCTTATTCAGTTTTTCTAGGCATTTGCAATTTATGCCCAGCTTAACTTGTCTTATCATTGCCTTTACCATCAGGCTTTGTGGCGACCATCAATCCACCCCTCTATTCATCATCATCCAACCAGCCTTCTAAAGGATTGACTTTAGTCACTTGAAGAGGCGCCATCTTTCCACTTCGGCGACATTTCATCTGACCGGCTGAAAGAAAGTGACTTTAGTCCAGCTTTCAGCCTCCATCATTCCCCAAGCGAGCCTAAGCCTTTGAGGATCGTATCAGGGAGTCTAGTGTGCACCTCGATGGGGGACGGTCAGAAGGCACCTCCGTCGAAGGTGTCCGAGCGAGGTCTTTGACCTCGCCCTAGGACCACGAAAATCATGTGTCCCACTCGCCGGATGAACTCAAAGCCGTCATCTCAAATGAACGATAAGAGGGATGTGCAGCGGAAAAAGAAAGAAATTTCAAGGAGGAAGAGTTTTAGGATTCGCTTCGAAAATAGAGTAAATCCATAAATCAGCAGATTTCCAGGTTTTATAGAAGAAAAAGAAACTGAAGAGGCACGCGAGAGGAATCACGTCGGTTGGAGAAAGCCAAAAATCAGTGGTGGACTAGTAATTATTAGTCTCTCGAGTTGTGCATAGAAAGTGACGCGCATTTAATGCGGAAAGAGAAAAGGAGTCCGCCACATCAGAAAAGGTGACCGGTGGCTCTCGGGGAAGTAACGTGCTGCGTTTCAAACCACCAAGGGCTCGCCACGTGGACCGCACTCACCAGATCCCAACGCGGGAAGGTTCGAAGGGAGACCACCGACCTTACCGAAGGTCTTTTGAAGATCAATTGATGAATACTTGCGACGGTATGAATTTCGCACCCCTACAGGATAACCGCCCCTTGTGGGTCAAACGTGACCATCCGAGCAGCACACGCTCCGTGATGGGTTTTACGGTACCCATAACCGTGGACGAAACATAACAATCCCTAACACGGTCTCGGCCACTAAGGTCATGCATGATTGCTTGAGTTCCTGCTCACATGATTGTTTGATTTCCTGCTTGCATGATTGCTTAATTTCTTGCTTTCATGATTGTTTGATTTCTTGCTTGCATGATTGCTCGATTTCCTGCTTACATGATTGTTTGATTTTCTGCTTGCATGATTGCTTAATTTTCTACTTACATAATTGTTTGATTTCCTACCTACATGATTGCTTGATTTCATGCTTGCATGATTGCTCGATTTCCTGCTTGTATGATTGTTTGATTTCCTGCTTGCATGATTGTTCAGTTCATCGCTTGTATGACCGTACCATATACCTCGGTATAACCCCATAGTCATTGGCTCATTCGATTGCGTGCCCCGCCCGCGCACGGACCAAGTAATTCTCTTCCTCTGTCGTACCCCGAATCCCTTTTTCTTAGCATGCTCCTCTGTGGACTTAATCGTCCTTCAAGACACTATTCCTCTGGGAATTCAAGACTTCGGTCAAGCAGGCCCCAGTGGCTCGCCCCGTGCCAGCTCCCTCTGCGGACCGCGCACTGAGCATGTTTCCCCCACGAACTTGCCCGTCCCCCGGGACAATATCCCCCCGGGATTCTAGGGCTCAGGTCTCTCAGGTCTCCAGATCTTCCCCGGCAGTCCCCTCCAATGGGCCGAGCGATAAATCATTGCGCTCCTCACCAGGATGTGCTTGCCACTCAGGCACCACAGGAATTGAGGTTATCGACTCGCATGCTTTCTTTTCCTGATAATTTCCCGACCTCTTTCTCTTCAGGGAATGTCATAAACACGTTCTTGAAACCCACAAAATTCTGCGTAAGCATAATGTGAAGACTGTCCAGGCAGTAGACGTAACGGCCTCGGAAAACGCCCTACTCCGCACCAGCTGTATTTGAGTAGCGACTACCCCTTGCGTTAGCGCCCCACAATGCAGAGAACATCTATTCATCCGTCCAACGGTGCCCCCTCTGTCCCATGGGCCGATATCTTAGCCTGCGTTGCTGTCTTATGTCGATCCCCACTGTAACATAAGGCAATAACCTCGCTCGTGACCCCGGTGAGTGGGGACAAGACGGTTTCTTGTCTAGTGCCTTACGAAGAAAGAAGTAAAATCCCTCCGGGGAGATGTCCACCAGTGGCCAAGCTATCAGTTCCCCCTCTCCCCCCGGGAATGCCTATCCCCTATCCTGAGAAAATGTCGCACTCCCCCGGATGCACGCCCCTGTCAGGATAGGACCCCATCATCTAAATCCCCTGGCCAAACGGCGTACTCCACCGGATGCGTAACGTAGACTGGACGAGTCTCTCTATATGTATATAGTCCGACCGTCTCATGGTTTGTTTCTCCCAGAAGCGTAATTCCTCCAATCAATAACGTACTCCCTTGGATGCGAATAAGGTCGGAGTTGACATCTAATAAGAGCTGCCCCGCGGCTCGCTTCCCCGAAAGAAAAATTCTCTCGACCAATAATGTACTCATACGGGACAAACGAATAAGGTTGGGGTTGAGAGTCTACTTCGGACTACTCCTTCATAGTACGCGTCGGGGTCGAAGTCGACACCCCATTTAATTTCTTCGGAATTCCGGACCATCCAGGTAGCGCCGCACTCTCCCGAGATGCGTAGCACAGCTTGGATGAGTTCCTAATTTTTTTCTATCTCCCAGAACTCAGCTTCGTCCAGACCAGTACCGTCCATCTAGCTCTTAAGCGGCAAAATCACCTAGGAAATAATGTAACATGTGCTCGTTTTACAGGAAGCCAAGGAAAATTTGACTTCCCAGCCCATCTTCCGATCGGCTGAAAAGTCAAGGGCAACTGTTGGGACCCATTTTACCGGTTCAAGAGAGAGCCTGACACGTGGATCTAGACTGCGCTAAACGTTGACACATGTCACGCTAGCTCGGCCGACCCACTCCTGCGTATTGTTTTGGGGCAGTTGGCGAATCTCCCCAAGCACGCTAGAATCATTACCTTCACCTGCCTTCCTGGCACGCCGAATGAAAAAGACAGGACGAGAAGGCTACGAGTATAAATAAGAGGAGATCACCATGAAAAAGGAGATTGACTGATCGGAGGAGAAAAACCCCTCTATAGGAGGAGGTATACTTGTGTATGAGTCAATCGGTCCAGAAAAACAGCATGATCACAGGAGAGCCTTGCGTTCTTCTCGGGTGAATGCCTATCAGGTTGAGTCATTCCTAACACGGAACCTTGCCTTTATATTCGCTATATCTTCCTTTATCGTATAGAAATTCCTTCGAAACACCCGAAAACAGATAGAAGCCTCGATCCCTGTACGAGACTTCTCACTACTAACTCGTAGAAATCCCCCCTCCCGAGTACTTGTTCTCGGTAGGATGTTCATCGACTTGGGCGTCGGAGAACCTTCGGGAGGGAAACCCCTTTTTGGTCCTCGCAGAGGCTCATCTGAACATTTCTTGAGTGTTCGCAGGACTAGACAAGACGGTTGGCCAGTCAATCCGACACCGGAAGCTTCCGTCTCAGAGCGACTCGCCGTCTTTCCCCTTAAAGGACGAAATTCGAAAATACAACTCTATCCCCCCCCAACGAATCACACATTCTCACGTAACATCGCGAAATTTGCTCCCGAACAGCTATTATAATTATTTAAAAAAATCATAAAAATAAATTTTATGATTTTTATATTAGTTTTATTATTATATATTTCTCCTCCAATAAATAAAAGTTCTGATTCCGCCACTAAATATATAATATAAGTGAACATAATATTTTGAAAAATTAAATGTATGATATTTCTATTTTCTGAATTTGTTATGTAGTTTGTAAATAATAATATTTTTTGATAAATAGTAAAAAAAAATTTAAATTTTTTATATCTTTTAAACTATCTATAGGGGTGGGCAAAATATTTAAGATCCGTAATATTAAAAAAAAACATTTATACAAAAAAAAATATTTCTCTTAATGATGGCAAAATTTTAGAATAAAAATAAATATTTTTTAGGAGATTTTTAAAGTAACATAGTAAATTTTAATTTTCAAAACTAACGCAAACTTAACAAAATCATTAACGAAAATATTAGGTTTAAACATTGGGCTAGAACTTGTTTTAAATTGTGGATAAGAACTAATACTAGGCTCTTGTTAAAACTGTACGTACGGACTGCCCAATAAATTTATAATTTGGTTGAAAAGATCCACACACAAAAATGGTTGGACAACAGCTTGACACTCACTGTTACAAAGCCTCATTTAGCAAACGCATGAAATTTGGAAAGAAAGAAAAAAAGGTATTGTGGTGTCACCTAAATGGAAGTCGTTGTTATTATTTTGCACATTCGTCGTTGTTATATTAAACTAAGTATTTTTAAAAATCAAATCATCCGATAAGTTTTATTCTGTCAGATATCTTTTGTCATTTCATTTGCTAACAAAAACTAAAAACTTTTCGTTTAGTTAACAAATTTTTCTCTCTTTTTTTTTTTGTCATTTAACAATTTTTCTCTAAACTCTTTCCCATAATTTGGTTTTGATTGATTAATACATGCCATTAAAAATAAAAATTAGAAGAAAGCATATCTTTGGGAAAACAAAATAAACAAATAACAGAAAATTAAAGATCATAACAGTTTGCAACGTCAGACACGATATCTCCCATCATCAGCCCACCCAAAAGCCCAGCCCCCAATCCAAGCCCAAGCCCAATCCCCTCGGCTGTTGAGGCGATGGGTATCCGTGTCCATATCCCGCCGGTGACGGCGGCGCATAAACGTTCTGTCCATACCCATGGTGGTTCGGTGCTGACGGCGCAAAGTTTGCGTAACACGACTGCTGCGGTGGCGCGTGGTGGTAAGCGTAACCGGGTTTCTGATAAGGCAATGAACCAGCGCCGTAGGATATTGGAAGAGGATCAAAGCGCGAGCCGGCGGAGTCGGGAAGTTTCTGATGGTCGGAATATTTCTGATGCGGCGGCTGAGACAGCTGGGGATATTCAACTAAGGGCTCCAGTCGAGCTGAAGGCGAACGCTCAATTTGCGACAGTGGTGAAGCAGATGAGTAACCTAATCTAGACGGCGGCGGAGGGTGAGCGATCGCTGGAGAATCCGGTCTAATCGGCGGCGTATTAAACCGGTACGAGAAAGTCAAATTGCCTTTCCGTTTCCCCGACGGAGATTTCACCTGATACGTCACAAACGTCATCTCCTTACCGTTACCGTCACCGTTAGTTGACGGCGTAATGGAATCCAACAGCTCAAGTAGCGGGATGTTAACTCCTCCGATATCTTTGTCGCCAAGGACATGACGACGAGATATCAATATTATGACGAGAGTCAAACGACCGTCACGAGCTAACCTCTCGTTGACGGAGAACTTGACGCCGTGATTCCAAGTTGGGTTAGGGCCACCGGAGTGATCGATAGCTGTTTTCATCTTCTGGTTCTTTTGGGTGTCGTCGCCGTAAATGGTAGCGACGGCGTAAACGTCCATTTTTGTGATGAGATTGACATCTTTAAGGTTGTTTGCAGAGTTGATGATGAGCTCTAGAGTTAGATTCGCCATGAGTGTCACTAGAAGGTGATGATGTTACAAATACAATAAAGATAAGCCTAATAAATAATAAATGGTAGATGAAGCTTGAATTCTATAGTATTAAGAAAATGGAAGAATGAACTAAATGTAGACAATAATAGTGAAGTTAAAATTAATGAAAAAGCATCAATAATATATATAAATTAATAAAATCAAAAGAAATATATTGTTTCTTATAAATTAAGATGGGAAATATAAAGAAATCCAATGCATATAAATGAAATATTAAAAAATGAGAACAATTTTTATTTCCGAAGATATATGCAAATTTCACTAGCACATCTTGTCATAGACATACATCTACTGGAAATGTATTAAAAAAACTCATGAAGAAAGATATATAGACTTATTAATTAGTTCCATGGAAACTATTATTCAGAGAATTGGACACCTAGTGAATTCAATAATGAATGTTGGTTAAGTATAGGGGAAGTATTAGTAAGGAAAAATAAATAAATCACGTAGAAGATTAGTAAGAACAAGATTAACTGGCCTAACAACAGATTTTAATTACAAATGTCAAATATACAGCATTGTATTTTTTATTTACATTAATTTTGATATATCATCTGATTAAAAAAATTCAACCCACCAAATTTATATAAAGTATGAAATTATATATTAGTTTATAAAAGAAAAAGAAAAACATCTAAAACATTTTATTTTTCAAAACTTATAGAATATTACGTAACAAAAGCAATGATAATCACACCCAGAAAAAAGAAAAAATAAAAGCACACAACTTCACACACTAGAGTAATCATAAACTGTCCAACACGTTTCTAGAGATGGCCACAATCGTATCTAGTATGACGAAACTGATCACGCCCAAACAATATTACCAACAACACAATAAACATTAGCCTCACAACCTTTGACTGCGTTTGTAGCGTACGTCCGGTCAAATAAGTCTGCGTCGAAAGCCTCACTAATCTCATCCTACGTTCGTTCACATACTCATCAATAGCTTCTTCAATGTTTTTCATCGAACAGTCCTTCTTCACCAAGTTGTCTCCGTGGTCCGGACCCATTTTCTTAGCTAGACATCTAGCAAGAACGACCGCATCCTCTAGCGCCGCCGAGCCACCTTGTCCCAAGAACGGACCCATCACGTGCATGGCGTCGCCGGCTACAGTCACGGTCCCACGACGGAATTTTCCAAACATGATTTCCAACGGAGAACGGTACCTTAAGTGTGTCATTGTTAATGACTCTACGTCGCATTTTTTCACCATTTCTTTCCAGTCTTCTGATAACTTATCGACCCATTGGACAGTCACGTTTGCGATTGATTCTTGATCTTTACCGTTGTGATGATTATCTTGCATATGCACTACAAACCAAAAGACGAGGTTATCGTTTAAAGGAAGTCTTCCGACTAAGACGTTTCCTGTCTTAATTCTTAGAAGCTCTTGTGGAAATCCATGGCCGTTTGGGTAATTGGTGAACCCTCTCACCGCACGACAAGCAAACGCTTTTTTCGGACCTAGCCGCAGATAATCACTGACAACAGAATTTGCACCATCGCATCCGATCAAAACCTATAGGAGGACAAAACATTAGACTATATATATACGCTTTTAGGTCTCAATTGTTTATTTGTTAACGGTAAAAAAAAACAAAATGTGAAACGCAAACGAAAATTCTTTAAATAATCTGACATGTGCGTTTACATATTATAAACAATAAAAAATAAAGATGTTTTATATTCCAAACATGTAGAAAAAAATCTTATGTAAGCGCAAACGTGATAGTAAAACAATTTGTGGTGAATATCTAGTTACCTTGGCTTTAATCGTATTTCCATTGGATAAGTGAACAACCGGAAACGACGTAGTTTCGTCCTCCTCTATAAAAACAATTTGAGAACCGAACCGAATGGTTTCTTCCGGAAGAGCATCCGCTAAGGCATCAACAAGATCGTTCCTTATAATACAACGAGCTTCATCTCTGTTTAAATTGCAGTAATTAGATTTCAATTAACCAGAAATTTCCAATAAATTATATAAATGATGGAAATTAAGGAGGAAAATGAGACATACTTGATGGTTAAAACGAATTCTCGTTCTTTCCCATTCTCGATCAACATGGTCCGTGCTCTGTTCACGTCAAAGAAAGATCCAACAATTTAATCAAAAGGTCTTTTAGTTACTAGTAATTAGAAAAGAATAAATAATTACTTGTGAATAAGTTGAGAGGTCTGACGAAGACGATGAGCGACGCCAAGCTGATCAAGAGCTCTCCAACCATTAGTGAGAGTTCCGATTCCAGCTCCTTCCGATCTCACTTTCTCCGCTCTCTCCAACACAACACTCTTTATTCCTTTCCTGCATTTTCAAATTCATTATATATATAAGCTAAAAAAATGAAATAACATATCGAATTATTGTGGATATTTTCAAGAAAATAATAGCAAACCTGTGAAGAGCAAGGGATGTAGCGAGACCAGCGATTCCACCGCCGACGATAACTATTCCGATTTCTTCCATCTTATTTTTTTTTGTTTTCTTTTGAAAAGACAAATCTGAGATGTTTAGATCTGGATCTTTGTTTGGATACTAGTTTAGTTTGTCTGAATGTGTGTATGTATAGTGATTTGTTTATATAGAGAAGAGAAGAAGTACGAGAAGACTTTTCGTTAAGACAATTACTTGGGAAGCAATCAAGTCACGTGTTTGTCAGGTCAGCTCGATCGTCATTGCGAGTCAAACATGGTGCTACGTTTATGCAAGTAATTTGACGTTGACGCAGGCGATGACGCAACCTAAAATTAAATCATCCTCTCAATATAACCAAGTTGACTAAGTTAGTTGTACATAAATATGTCTACTTGTTTTATTGTTGTGACTACGACTCCATACTTATCGTATTCGCATATATCAAAGTTATTAAAACTCAATCTTGTATATGTAAAACAAACAAACTTGGTTGAGAATTCACTTTTTTTTCGATAGGCAATGAGAAAAATGGTAAAACTAAAAATAAGATTTCTTGTTGACGCAAGCGATGGCGCCACCTATATACTATGCACCAAAATGTGTTATTTAAACAAGGGTCATTTGTTTACATAACTCCTTTAACAATTTTATGGTGAAAAATGGATTAGGAAAAATTGTAAGAAAGTCCACTAATGTATTTTTAGTCTTCCGTTAATATTCTATTAATTTACATTTAATTTGCCATTAGTCTATTATTAGTATGCACTAGGTATTTACTCGCGCTACGCTGTAGAATATTTTTCTAGATTTTGTATATATTTTTAATATAATAAAATTATTCTTATAATATAAATGAGTATTATATTTATTTTTTATTAGCTTAAGTTATGTATTTATATATTTTAAATCTAAATAAATTATATATCTATAATTTTTTATTTTTAAAAAGTATAATCTACTATCAAATTTATTTAGCTAAATTGCTACTTGATCCTCCTTTGAAATTATATAAAGCAAATTTCCATTTAAAAAAATTATTAATTAATATGATTATTTTGAATTATAAAATTTATTTATTTATCAAATATTTATTATAAACATATGTTTCTAAAATTACCAAACTATAATCAATAACATTCATATCAAAATCATTGCTATTGCTTTAAAACTAAATAGAAAGTTCTGTTTGAACTTTTGAAATATCATTTTAGTCAAAATTAAATAATTAAATTTTGGTTAGTGTAAATATATTGTAACTTAAAAATTTAGCACAAAGAAATTTTATCTTCTTACAAAAACCCGAGAAATCGTATTTTCGGACAAAACAAAAAAAAAATTCATTTTCCCACGAAACTGAGAAATCGCCTATTCCCGCAAAAAAAAAAAATCATTTTCTCGTCAAATCTAAAATTTCAATTTCCCACCAAAACAAAGAAATTGAATTTTCCCGCAAAAGTGAAAAAATCATATTTTTCCGCGAGAACCTGCGTTTTTCCGCCAAAACAGAGAAATGAAGTTTTTTCACAAAACAAAAAAAATTTCATCTTCTTGCAAAAACCAAAAATCGTATTTTCCCGTCAAAACCAAAAAATCGGCTATTCCCTCCAAAAAAAAAAAATTATTTTTCTCGTCAAACCAAGAATCACGCCTTCCTAACAAAACCGATAAACTACAATTTTCCGCAAAACTAAGAAATCACATTTTCCCGCAAAAACCAGAAAATCACATTTTATGTCAAAGACTAAGAATTTGTATTTCCCATCAAAACCGAGAAATTGTTTATTTCTGTCAAAATCGAGAAAAAAAATTCCCATCAAACCGATAAATTGCATTTTACGCCAAAATCATCAAATTTCCGCGAAAACTAAAAAATCACATTTTTCCGCGAAAATCAAGAAATCACATTATCCATCAAAAGCCGAAAATTTGCATTTCATATCAAAACCAGGAAACTATATTTTTCATCAAAATGAAAAAGTTGCATTTCCCTCGCAATTGCTCGTCAAAACTAAGATATTTTGTTTTCTCGTCAAAATCAAAAAAAAAAATTCTCACCAAAACCAAAAATTCACATTTTTCTGCCAAAACTGAGAATTCGTTTTTCTCCGTCATAACCGAGAAATTATGTTCTCCTACCAAAACTGAAAATCACATTTTCCTACCAAAACCAAGAAATTATCTACTCCCACCAAACCTAAGAAATTTTGTTCTCGGTAACCACTGGAAATGCAAATCTCCAAGCTATGGTGGTCTAAGCTTCTCCTCATTTGCTTCCGACTGAAACTTTGGGCTTTTTAATGGGTTAGCAAAATAGTAAACTGATTTTATTAGTGTGTTAATGATATGTATTATTGTTATGTTTTTATCGATTCAAATTTTTGCCGATGTGTGAGTTTCTTATAACATAACACTTTTTGCGTTGTTGTTATAGAAACATAGTTGATGATAAGTCTTCACATTCTTCAATTATATACGTTTCTGTCAAAGAAACAGATAGTTAGAATTTTTATTTTATTTATTTGCTGTTAATTATTATTTGGGTTTGGATTTGGTAAAAAATAAAACAAAAATTTAATTTTATATTTGTTGTTAATTTTTATTTGGGCTTGGATTTGGCAAAAACTAAAACAAATATTTTTTATTTGCTATTATTTCTTGTTTGGGCTTGGATTCGGTAAAAAATAAAATAAAGATTAACAAAAAAAAATATTTAGGTTTTTAATGAGTTTAAATTTAAAAATTAAAATAAGTAGATGAGTTGTATTAATAAAATATTTTTATTGGTAAATTTTTTTGTTGAAGTGTTATCTTAAGAAAGTTTGAAAAAGCTTAGGTATCTTTACTAGGAGAAACTTATGTGTTATTGTTATATTGATTTATACCCCAGAAATGTTTGTTTTTAAAACAAATATTGAAGAACACTAGTATTATAGTTCCATAATTAAAGATATAAATTGCTGTCAAACAAAAATTAAAAATACTGTATAAATTAAAGATATAAAAAGAAAAAAAAAACAGAGCAAAAACATTTGCAAGCAGAAATGAGTAACCTCCTGATACATACATCTCATGAGTCATGAAACCACACAACCTCTCTCACATAGACCGTTCCATGCACATACCCATACGGCCATACGTAACGTAAGATATAGATCCACTACTAATTTTAAAGACGGCCACAATCATATCGAGTGTGACCAATATGGTCGCGAAACAGAATCATCAACAAAACTACAAGCAAGAGCTTCGTTACCGGCGACGAAGCTTCGATTAATCTGCCGGTAAGATACGTCTGTGTCGAGAGCCCCACGAGCCTCCCTCTTCTCTCTCTAACGTACTCATCAATTGCTTCTTCGATTTGCTTCCTTGAAGAGACATTGTTCATACCGTCCTGACCTAACTTTCTCCACAAGCATCGAGCAAAAACGATACCGTCTTCGAGCGCAGCCGAACATCCTTGTCCTAAGAATGGACCCATCAGGTGCATACTGTCGCCAGCGACTGTCACAGTGCCACGTCGGAATTTACCGAACATAACATCCCAAGGAGAACGGTACCTTAAGCGGCTAATATATAAGGAATGGATATCGCACTTCTTCACCATCTCTTTCCACTCTTGTGAGAACTCGCGGACCGATGATAGTGTGAATCTTGCGACATCCTCTTGGTTTTTAAAAACGTTCGAGTCTATTAACATAACAAATTCACCACAGACAAACAAACAGAAAACAATCGCTTAAAAAAATCGAAAATGTAGAAGTATATAATATAAGTTGTAGCATGAACGGAAAAATTAAAGAAACTATATAATTACTTTGAGGACACTTTAGCATAACAACAAACCAGAAGACGAGTTTGTGAGTTATAGGAAGTCGTCCGCTTACGACATTGTCCATCTTGATTCTTATGAACTCTTGCCGGAATCCATGCCCGTCCGGGTATCTTGTGAACCCTCTAACGGCCCGAGAACCGAGGGATTTAGTCGGGTTTAGTCCTAGAAATCCAGAGACGACAGAATTCGACCCGTCGCAGCCAATCAAAATCTATATTATAAAAGAAAGTAAAGAATTGATATATGTATGCCATTTCATGCCAAACATGTAGCTTTCAACACTTTGTATATTTGCTCACGACTTTCAAAAACGTCACTGTCGACAAATTTTAAATAATATACTATATTATACTACTCCATTACTCAATCATATATTGGTCAATAGTAGATGTACGTACTTTTGCTTTGATATCTTGTCCGTTTCTAACGTGAACAACCGGAAACGACATCGTTTCGTCAAACTTAACCGACGCAATTTGGCAGCCAAGTCGGAGGGTTCCAGGAGGAAGAGCATGAGCCAAAGCTCGGACCAAATCATTCCTTACAACACCTCTTACTTCTCCATACGACGCCGGTCCGACCGATTCTCTTCGTTTGATCCCTTTCTCGATCACAACATCTCTTATCCTGTTTTAGTACCGTACAAGACATAATTAGTAATATCACAACTAGAACTGACATAATTAGTAATAATCACAATTAGAACTAACTCAAATGTAAGTAGTTAAATACGTACTGTTTGATGGGGAGAGAATCAAGACGAAGCTTATCTGCGACACCGAGCTGTTGAAGAGCAAGCCAGCCATTAGTCTGAATACCAAATGCGGCTCCTTCGGATCTCACCGACCCTGATCTCTCCAACACAATGCTTTTTATACCTTTCCTTTATATTTATATGATAAACGAAATTAGTCAATATAATCCATGTATATATTTCACAAGTTACCATGATTAAAATATCTATATATAATTGAGAAAAAGAGAAGAAAAAAACGAACCTGTGAAGAGCAAGGGAAGTTGCAAGACCAGCAATGCCTCCTCCAACTATTACTATATCAAGTTCTTCCATTCTTGTTTATCTCTCTTTCTCCAAAATCTTATGGTTTTTGTATTTCTCACAAATCACAACATATTATTTCTGCGTTATATATGGGTTGTAGCCACATGGGTTATATAGTGCCGTGGTTGCATCTTGGCCGGTTGTATTTATCATTATATATAATTATTATACTTAGACAATTTGAACAATAAATATTCTTGGTATTTGTCGATTTCCATGTATTTTAAAAGTATATAAGTAACATCAGATATTTCAATAATAGACTCAGAAAATGTTAGAAGAAACTTTTTATTGTACAATGTTGAAAATGTGATACATTGTCATTTTACATCATTTATATCTAGGAGGCTGCATATGTTAGAATGCATTCATCCTGACAACTGACAAAGCAAATGATGTGGACTGTGGAGCACATATATTTATTTTTAGAATGGGATTTAGCAAATATCTGTATAATTTTTCAAATTAATACACAGTTTAGGTTGTAGAATGGGATTTATCGTTCTATATATATTTTTGGTAATAGCTGTGCTCCACATCTTATAATGACATCCTGACAAGTAATCTGACAGAACATCTCGGTAGTTGAGTCATAACTCAGGGGTTGAAATTGAATGTTTAGAAAGTTCCTTGCTGTCAGTGGTAAATTTATTCACAACTCTGGGGTTGTAATGGTAATAACTATTTCGAAAGGACTAAATTAGAAAAACAGAAAAACTCGTCGGCCACATTAGGTTTGGTACAAAATCCCTAAATCCCTAAAACCCTAAAGAGTAAAACTCAATCTCAGAAAAAAAAAAACAGAGAGCTTCCTTCCTCCTAAATCGTTTCTCTTCCCCAAAGATGCGGCCGTTAGACGAGAACGAGACGACCGTCGTCTTCGAGAAGATCTTCAAATTCGTCGGCGGTAACCTCAAGAACATCGTAGAGAACCCATCGCACGAAGGTCCCGAAGCAGAAGCCGGCCGTTACTGCTTCCGCCTCCAGAAGAACAGAGTCTACTACGTCAGCGAGTCTCTCGTGAAGCGAGCCACAAACATCTCCCGGAAAAACCTCGTCTCTCTCGGAACGTGCATCGGGAAATACACTCACGCCGGGAGCTTCCACCTGACGATTATGTCGCTCAACCTCTTGGCGGCGAACGCTAAACACAAGGTATGGCTAAAACCCACATCGGAGATGTCGTTTCTTTACGGGAACCATGTGTTGAAAGGAGGATTAGGGAGGATTACTGATAGTATCGTTCCCGGAGATGGAGTTGTTGTCTTCTCGATGACTGATGTTCCGCTAGGGTTTGGGATTGCGGCGAAGAGCACTCAGGATTGCCGGAAATTGGATCCCAATGGTATCGTCGTGCTTCATCAAGCTGATATTGGGGAGTATTTGAGGGATGAAGACGACCTTTGAAAAAGTTGAGTCTGTTTTATGATAAGTGTGGGTCTTAGCTTGATTCCGCTTGTTGTTTTATGCTATTTTGAGCTTTTAAGGTATGTAGCTGTTACAAATTTTGTGGAACATGGTGTTGGATCTATGAAAGTCTTGATTTTTATGAATTTGTGTTCGAAACTTGCTTGCTTTGCATTTTATAGCTCAAAATCTTCCCAAGATTGAACTTTTTCAGTTAACTAAGCACTTTGAAAGATAAAACTGTGTTGGTTTGTACTAGCAAATGATGTGGAGCACAGATATTTGTATACAGTTACGCATTTGTCTGGCATACGTGCCTCCCTCAAATCTTGTTGAGACATACGTCTTTCATAAAAGATCAACACAAATCTAAAAAAATTCACTGGGCACATAAGAATCAATTATATGTTGGTCGTGTAATGTCAAATAATGTGGAGCACACTATAAGCCAATTACGTCCTGAATTCTTTTTGAGACAGATTGCAAACTTTTTTATGGAAAATCTCACTCTCAAAACTCCTACATTACGAGATTTTACTTAACTTTTCTCTAGAGTGCAGTGGAATCCGAAATCTTGGTCGTTGTTTCTGCAAAGTGCAAAGTCAGGCATCACTTGGAATGCAAAGATGAAACTTAAGCTTTGGTTTTGCGTTTAGAAAGATCTATTATGGCTATAGAATATATTTCACATTGTCAATCACAAAGCCCGTCTAGCTCAGTTGGTGGAGCGCAAGGCTCTTAACCTTGTGGTCGTGGGTTCGAGCCCCACGGTGGGCGCAATCAATTTTAACCTTTTCTTGATTTGAATAAGTTTTGCCTACATTACAGCAGGGAAGAACCATACAAGATGTTCTTTAAAATAAAACATTTTATCATCAACATTCAGAGTCAAAACCTTACAATATAATATGGTACCATTTCGTTCCTCTCTCCTAACTCTCTACCGGAGACATTTTGACTCCGTCGCCAATTCCGCCAAAGGCACACTCAGAATATGGTAACATCTTCAGTCTGTGCAGTTAAAACCGTGACAAACCGAAAGCCAGATTATGAGAACAAGCAGTAGAAAGATACCAAGAACCACGAGTTTTATCTTCATGTTCTGGTACCACAGTTTCCTCCTCACTTGTGTCCCTTGTTTCTTGTACTCCTGCGCCTAGAATAGTACAAAATAAACAGAGATTAGAGTGCCTATTTCAGAGAAGATTAGCAAGAAAAAGCTCATCAATTTACTGTTTGGTTCAAGTCTGCCTTTTACCTGAGAGCGTAGATTCTCGGTTTTGTCAGTAAGAACAGTTAGATTCTCCCCTCTGTCGATTGCCTGAGAACAGACCAACAATTTTGGACACGAACAAGCATAAATGCACTTTAAGGGGACATAGTTAAATACGTAAATGCTTTTTCGTAGACCCATCATTTTAAAGGTAAAGTAAAGGAGAATGATTGGTTGTCTAAGTGTGCAGAAAGACATAAGTTACAGAATGCGATAGAAACTATGAGAGTCAATGATGAGCATTATTTACCTTGTCAATATTCTCCAACATTATACTTTTAACTTCCGAAACTTGAGCCTTGACTTTTATTAGCTTCTCAATCTCCTCTGCATGGTCAACAATATACTTCATGTGTTCTTTCATGACCGGCCTGCAATATCCGTTACCATTTTCATTAAGAAACCGAAATCTCTCACATATATTTTTCATTATACACTTGCCCCCATAAGTATTAAGGTAATTACCCAAACTCCTTGTTCAGACTTTTGGCGATAGCTGTACTTGCTTTTCCACCCCCATATCTTTTCTTGAAATCAGCTTTCACACGCTCCAGAAATGCGATCGAAATCTGCTTGCTAAGAGAATCTTTCGCCACAACACAATATGCTGAAAACGTAAAACAGAGAAATATGTCATCTTTCAAGGAGGGTTTTATAAGCGAAATGCACGTATATATATTGTATTTGCAAGATATAAATATCACACAGTCAAGAATATTCAAGAGGATTCTTCATAACATTGCTATAACAACACGAAGCATTAATCAATTTCTGTGTCCTGTAATGATCAAAGGACACCGCACAAAAAAGCAAATGATCTAATGATCTATCACTGTTTAACTGGATGGAAGTGAACATTTAAACTTGTATATACTGTTAAATAGGGAGATTCCAATTTAGGGAACAACACGGTTCAGTCAAAATCCTGCTTTGTTCATGTCAAAAAGATGAAATTTTTTTTATAGAGTGGAAGTGTGGAACCTAATCCGCATGATATATCAGATTTCAATGATCTAATAGTCCAAGTTTAACTGTAAAACGCATGAGTGGCTTCATCTCAAGACTCATAACTAGTTCCTATAGAAAGCAGGACTGCACCAACATCTCCAATGATAAACATGGCAGAAGTAACAAAAAATAGACTCTACTTAGAAACCAAACCAAATCAGCAAAAAAGGAATTAATCAATTCTTTCTTCTGTTTAAGTTCAAATCAGCACACAAGTACACTGTTGAATCGCCTAGAAAGGCGAAATCCAAATGCACTGAGATTCAGATGATGCACATAGAGCTAATCATGAGCTAGATCCATCAAAACCCCTTACTGGCTTCAAGCTAAAAATAGCACCTTTTCCAGACACTGTTCAAATTGAGAAAACCGGAGAGAGGAGAGTGTGAGAAGGAATCAAACCGTAGCCATCTTCGACGAGGAAATTGAAGGTATGGTGATCGCAGTTGTAAGTGAACTTGCTGTTGCTGGAGGAAGGAAGCTTCTGGAGACACTGAGCTGCAATCGACGGGAAATTACCAGTGAACTCGGTATACTCGGCCAAAACCATAGTGCCTCTGGCGACGAAGCTGTAGATAAACGATTCCTGACCCATTGAGTCGCCACCGAGTCGGCTCAGGCAGAGAGAGAGAGAGAGAGAGAGAAAGTTTTGATCTTTAACTTTGCTGCAAAGGAAGAAACTATTTTCCCGTGTCTCGACTCACTAAAACTTTACTCCATTTTCTATTTAGCTTTTTTGAATCACACTGTTTCGTAAAAATGTCAAAAAAAAAAATCATGTTAACAAAAATCAGTGATTTCAAGTTTTCAACATTTCAAAACTTATTTATATCGTATCATTTTCTTTACATAGTTTTTCTTTTCTAATGCCAAAAAAAAAAAAACTATACTCCTAAGCCTCAGGTAAGCTAATCCTCATGTCCACAGTACTGTTGATTCTCCATAACACCATCCTACTCTCCATCTTCATGTCATTGATTTCACAGAGCCTCAAAAGCAGAGCCTTTACGAATTTGTAGTTGCTCGTACTGTACCATTTCGACTGTTTCTTGAAAATGCTTTCAACGTCTCTGAAAGCTCTCATCACAATCCCAACTTCCATTCCTCTTTCCACAAGCTCTCTCACTGAATCCACCATCTTCAACGTAATCTCCTCAACGGAATCAGCATGACTCGAGACCTCTACCAAGTGATTCGCTACACAGAAGGCACCAACAAACGCCATGACCCAGCAACTGTTATCTACCAACAACTCTCCTGGTGGGTTTAGCCTTGTTACTATCTCTGGGAGAAGCTTTTCAACAATCACAGGAATAAAAAAATCTCCATCCCCAAGCTTCATTGTTAAGCACTGGAAGACGTAAACTGCTCTCTGGAACTTTGTTTTACACTGTGATCCGATATACTCCCATAGATGGAACCATTTGTCCTCTTGGTAGCTTAGCATCTCGTTTGCGACATGGAACACCACTTCACCTAGGACTTTGAACATGCTGTCCGAGAGTCCTTCCTCCTGAAGGCAAGAGATGAGCAATGGCTGGAGTTGTCTCATCGTTGTAATCTCTATCTCCACTTTCTTCGTTGTGTGATTAGAGAGTAAGTGGTTAAGCTGTCTTATCGCCAATTCTCTAGACGTCTCTCCAAGATCAGCTGTTGCGAAGACTCTCAAGATCTCCAAGGAAGATAGATTCGTCAAGTAGTCACACCAGTCACGTTCAAACCCTGTTCCCTGTTCATCGCTATACTTGTTCGGTTTCTTAACCACACGTCTCATATCACTCGCGACCTCTTGGCTGTCGTCTTCGCTTTGGTAACAAGCTGCGATCTGAAATGCTAACTCCTCAACGAAATTGAGTTGCTCCTTACTGTATCTACACAGACTCGCGTCTCGTGCCAAGAACTTGGTGAGATCTTCAAGCGCTCTTTCAAGAAACTCTTCCATTCCCATCGCCACCACCTTTCTTGCTGACCTCACAACATTGTCTCTAACCTTTGTTGTAAAACCAGATCGCTGAACACCGATTTTCAAGTGAGTTTCCAAAGCCAAGATCCAATCTCCGGCTTTACCTTTCTCAGGGTTAAGCAAAACCACCTTGGCTTTATCTAACACACTCTGCATAGCTTCTGTGCTGATGAGTTTCCCGTAGACTGCAGGTAAATCGACGAAGACAGAGAAAGCATTTAGGGTTTGGGTACTAGCGAGCGAGAGGATAAAGTCGTTGAGCTCGTCCCATCCGCCGTCATCTAACAGCGCGACGTTGTAGGCGACGAAGGAGACGACTCTATGGAGGATCTTGATGTCGGATTGTTTCGTTTCTTGCATTTTTAGGCATGAGATCAAAAGGGGCTTGGCGAGACGGAGAACGGAGAGAGGGAACCGGAAGTTGCGGTTTCTGGATTGTGCGATTGCTTCGGAAAGAAGATGGATCGTTCGGAATCGGAAGATGCCGTCGGGAGAGTTTCGATACGCCTTGAGAAGCTTTAGGGTTAAGAAACCTGCGAAATTGGCGACGCAGCATTCGTACAGAGCAAGAGCCGCTTGGTGCTCGCGGGTTTCTTGATGCATAAAGAGTGGGCTGATTGCTTTTGCTACTTCTTCGTTTGAGGTTTTAGTCATGAGAAAATCCTTGGCTTTTGACATTAGATTCCAAGATTCCGCCATTGCAGCATCCCAAGATTCCTCCATGGCAGCTTCTGCCGTTTTTTTTCCGAGAAAGACTTTCGTATCAGAATCTTCTGAAAATTGACAGTTTTAACTTTTAAGGTGAATAGCTTAATAATAAGAAGAAGGGAATTTTATTTATTTCCAACATTGAATAAACCGGACTTAACCTAACTGAGATTTCGCTCCGGTTTAATTTTACTTGGCTCGAAAATACTGAATCGAACGTAAATCGAATCTTTACTTTATTTTATACTCTGAAATTATTTGCTTCTAAAATAATGCTACATATATTAAAAAAATAACGTTATTTTAATGTGATTTTTATATATCAAACAAAAATAAAGATCTTTTTATGCTGACGTAACTAACAGTTACAGGAGAGAGCCCTTCTGCTTTTAGATTTGACGTGCCTCCAAATTTCGTGTTTTTACATTTTATATACAAAACAAACAAAAATAAATAAAGGACAATTTGGTAGAAAGCCAAGTATAGAGATTAAATTAGAAAAATAGCAAAAGACAAATAAGTTAGAAGAAAATAGCTAAAAGGTAACGAACAGTGATTTGTGTAATTGGTTATTTACGTTTTATGCCATTGTGTACTTGTAGTTGAGCGGAAGAATGAAGTAGATGTTGAAAAATATTAATGAAATTGGGTGATAGCGCATTTGTGGACATTTATGGAGTGAATGAAGACTGACTTTGAGCTTCGTATTAAATGAAGAGACAAAAAATATTCGCCGCCGCCTTACGTAAGCATGATCTATAAGGAGGTGATGATGAGTTAATGCAATTTGTAATGCTCCAAAAAGATCGTCGACGGACAGGACGGGAAATGAAAATATCTCTGCACACCTAGGTTTATGGAGTCTCCATAAATACTCGTTCATGCTATAGAACTACAGGCTAACAAATCAGGTAAGTTATTCTGAATCAGTTCTTACTATATATGAATATCTATGTGAGAAGTTAAAGGTTCGTTCTTATTAATAACAACATCTTCTTGGTTTTGGTATCTTAGGATTATCAATGATGGTTCAACTGTGAGAGGTCCTGAGTGATCTGGTTCGCGCGGAGCAAGGGTGGTGGATGAAAGATGTCGGGGGGTTTGGCGGTTCGTGTTGCTGGAGGACAGGCTTAGCAAAGGTTAGGGGTTATCAACAATGGTGCAACTCTGGAAAGACCTCAGCGATCTGGTGCGGGCAGAACAGGGGTGGTGGATGAAAAATGCAGGGGGGTGTGGCGATTTGTGTTGCTGGATGAATATAAACTTGGTGCGGGCCAGATATAAACTTGTAATGGGTTATTTGAAAATGATGGAGATTTGTAATGATATAAGTGTATTGTAGACGTCTATTAACATTAATGGAGTGCTATATTCGTCTCTCAAAAAGTTATGTTGTTCCATAGATTGTTATATTTATTATATTCAACAGATCGCGTGCCCGTAAATTATATTATAGTGTGATATTTTCTTTCATAGATTTTTTGTTGCTCCTATAACTATAATATATGTTAGTATATGAGGCTATATAGCTGTCTATTAATATTAGTGAAGTGTTATTAAATATGATGGACGATTATCTGAATGGCTGCTACAAGAACATTACATTGAAGAGTAAAAAAAGTTAAAGACATCTAATGTATTTAATGGACGGATTTTCTCAGGATTGGATCAAACAGAGAATGTCATATTGGATGTGGCATATAAGGGAGATGAACTGTATTTGGGGCGTGTGTTCAAGAACAAACAAGACCGCAAGGTGAAGATAGCATCTCCATGTGATCCACCTTGGGGTCATCTACTTCATCGGCCCATGCGAAGGCACTTTGGGGGGGTTCCATCGAATTCGCCTTCGATTATTGAAGTCACGGCCACCTAAAAAAGACACCCGCATACTGATTTATAAGGCCACACACTCAAACTTAGACATCCATATATTCGAGTATCTGATTACATTGTTGGAGATCCATAACATGAGATACAGGGCTACCCAGGTTTGTAGTAAAGTTACCTGTCTGGAAGAGTCGAAATCCCAAAGCTTATCTAGCTAACCATCAGAGCGAATGTGCATATATGCATGTGAAGATCTGGTTTGGAGATCTAAGATTTTGTTTGAATTATTTAAGATCTGGTTTCAAGACCTAATATTTTGACACTTAGGTGATATTTCTGGGAAAATCTAAGATTAAAAAACAATCCAAATGGAGAATCACTTCCCACTATCGATTGAAACAACAACAAATCACCCGAACAAGATTTGGCTCCGAAGAGAAAATGAAAACAGAAATCGGAAGAGTAATCCCACAACGAAAAAATTTTACAGCCAATTCACAATTGAAGACCAAAAACGACAAAGACGGAGGGCGACGATGTTCGCGGCCCTAATTCGGGGTAAACTGAAATGGGATTACGCGTAGAAGAACGGGAGTTCGGATTACCTCAATTATCAGTTGCTTGCGTCTGTGACTCGGAATTTCAACAGCGGAGATGATTTGCTACTCGGGTTCAGTTCTAATCGGAGACTGCAGAAAATCGGATAATTGGCCTTTGACAGCGAGGAATAGGAATAGACTAAGTGGTCCGGCCAACGGAATAGGCGGGGATGAACAAATTGCTTAAGCGGAGGTATTTTAGTGGTTGGAGGCGGTTCGAAACGGGGGTTGCTGGTAAACATTTACTTCGCCTTCAACAATCGAGGAAAAGAAACTAATTTTAGAGTTCGGGCAGCGAAGGGATGCAGGATATTAAATATGCAATTACTCACGCCACAAATCAAACATAGTTAAAGCTTTCTAAATTTAACTAACCAACAAATTTTTTTATTCGTTTGTAGGACTCCACATACAATTAGATTGGTAGCACCTGAGAGTATCGTGAACAAAAAAAATAACAAATTAATTTAATACTCAAACAATAAAAAACAATAATCAATTCTCTAATTTACTATCATTCTTTAGCCAATGCAATTTTCCAATAATAAATAATCATGCTTCCCATTATTTTTGTTTGGTCAACCTCTTTATACATAGTCTCTTCTTCTACTTGAGATTTGAGATATCTTTTTGTACAGAAAAAAAAAAATAACAGCGTCGCTTGCTTATCCCGAGTGTTACTGTCGGGGAAGAAACTTAGGAAGACAAGACCCAACAATTCGTAGGGAATCAAACTCACTCAGGTATGAAATTCTGTGATTCTTCGATTCAGGGTTTCATATACGCCGGAGATATTAGGATTTCGTATAATTCCTGATCCAAACTCGGGTCAAGACCCGCTTCTGTTTTTTTTTCCCCCACCATTACCAGAAACAGAGCCGATCCAAATCCTGAATACGATGAGAAAACGTCATCCCAAGGCTTCAGATTCTTCAGAGCCATCTTCCAGCAAAGAAATCGATAACGATGCTCTCGTCAAAGAGGATGATGTGCAGGCTGATGTTAGAAGATCGGGGAAAGTATGGCTCTCACTGTTGATTCTGATCACATACTCCTCTTGGGCTGTTTACAACTATCAGACTGGGAATCTACCTCGTCCCTTAACCGCGAAACAAGCTGGCAAAAGGGGTTTCTCTGAGATTCAGGCAATGAAACACGTCACGGCTTTGACTCAGTTTGGTCCCCATCCCGTTTCTTCTGATGCTCTTGTCCATGCCCTTGAGGTTTGTCTTAGTGGGGTTTCTCCATTTTCGTTTTCTTTCTTAATTTGTGTGTGCTGAGAGAATTGTTGAATCTTTGTAGTATGTATTGGAAGAAGTTGAGAAAGTTAAAGAGACTGCTCATTGGGAGGTTGACGTGAATGTTGACTTCTTCGAATCCAAATCCGGTGTGAATCGTCTGGTCGGTGGTCTTTTCAAAGGGAAGTCGCTTGTGTATTCGGATATAAGTCACGTTGTGCTGAGAATCTTGCCGAAATATGAATCAGACGCAGGAGACAATGCTATTCTGGTATCTTCTCACATTGATACCGTCTTCTCAACGTATGTTTGCTTCGTCTCCTATCTCCATCACCATGTTTGCTAGTATGAAGTCTCTGTGTGTGTGTGTGTTTACTTTTTGTTTGGGTGAAAATGTATGAAGAGGTGGGGCTGGAGATTGTAGCTCATGTGTAGCTGTGATGCTTGAACTAGCTCGATCTGTTTCTCAATCGGCTCATGGATTCAAGAACTCTATTATCTTCTTGTTCAATACTGGAGAGGAAGAAGGTCTTAATGGCGCTCATAGCTTTATTACTCAGGTATATATTATAGACTTACCTCAATGCCTTTGACTTAGATGTAATTCCCTCACTCTTTATGCTCTGACTTGTTTGAGTTAATCTGATTAAATCTCTTAATTCTTGAACTTGTGGTTTCTGCCTCACATTGTGTAAATTACTGATGCAGCATCCATGGAGTTCCACAGTACGTTTAGCTATTGATTTAGAAGCCATGGGTATAGGTGGAAAGTCCGCTATTTTTCAGGTATAATCTTATTCACAACCTCTCGTTCCTCAAGATTGCTAATATAAACTCTACAAAACAATTCTTAAGAAGTACAATTTCTTTCCCTCTTCCTTTGTACGGTTTTGGTTCTTTTTATGGGAGTCAAGTTGTTGCATTGGACATAGTTTACTATTGTTTGTGCCATTTACCTGAAAGAGAATTGAGTTTTCTGGTTTTCAAATTGCCTCTCTTCATCTCCAACTGAGAATTTCGACCTTCTGAGTGTAGGCTGGCCCGAGTCCGTGGGCTATTGAAAACTTTGCTTTGGCCGCGAAACATCCGTATGGTCAGATCATCGGACAGGTACGTGTACATTCAACTGATGTTTCTTGCCTCCTTTTAGTGGTATATATATTACACAATTTTTAATGTGACTGCTTTATACTATGAGCAGGATCTGTTCACTTCTGGACTCATAAAGTCAGCTACTGATTTCCAAGTATACAAGGAGGTTGCTGGTCTCTCAGGACTGGACTTTGCTTTTGCAGACAATACTGCTGTCTATCACACTAAGGTATGTTTTCCCTTTTTTTTGTTTCGAAACGTTGTTCTTCTTGTTTTAGATGAGAGTAATGTTTTAATTTGGTTGGGTCGCAGAATGATAAGATAGAGCTACTAAAGCCAGGATCGCTCCAGCATCTTGGTGAAAACATGCTTGCTTTCCTCCTCCGTGTTGCTTCATCTTCTGATCTACCAAAGGATAAAACAGTCCATGGAGAGGAGAAATCAAACCCGGACTCAGCTGTCTACTTTGACATTTTGGTGATTTTCAGAACTAACTATTCTGTTGTAGTTAGTGTTTCCTTAACCATGTCCTGATGTATTTTCCTTTACTCCTATCTCAAATCCTCAGGGGAAGTATATGGTTGTATACAGGCAAAGCTTTGCGAAGATGCTATACGTTTCAGTGATCATGCAGTCGATTCTTATATGGGTCTTGTCTTTGCTCATGGGCGGTTCTCCGGCTGTTGTGTCTCTCCTCCTGTCGTGTTTGAGTATCGTTCTCTCGTGGATACTCTCAGTAGCGTTCTCTGTAGCTGTTGCCTTCATACTTCCCTTGATATCTTCATCGCCTGTGCCGTATGCCTCAAACCCATGGATGGCTATTGGACTGTTTGTGTCCCCCGCGGTTCTAGGGTCGATAACCGGTCAGCATGTGGCCTTTATCTTCCTTAAGAAGAACTCATCGAACCGGAACTCGAACAGGACGGGACTCTCACCGAGACTAAGGGATAATTTGGCCAAGCTTGAGGCTGAGAGGTGGCTGTTCAAAGCCGGTTTTATACAGTGGCTTGTTGTTCTGGCCTTTGGAACCTATTATAAACTTGGATCAGCTTACCTCGCTCTACTTTGGCTAGTTCCTCCTGCATTTGCATGTAAGCCTTATCAAAAAAGTTGTTTTCCTTTACTTCTGTTGTAAGTTTTAGCTTAATTAAAACCTAATGGTTTGTACAGATGGATTGCTCGAGGCGACTTTGACTCCAATCCGATTGCCAAAGCCACTCAAACTCGCGACTCTCGCTATCAGCTTGGCCGTACCGATTATGGTTTCATCCGGCAGTTTTATCGGGTTAACCAGCACAATGATCGGTATGCTCGTTCGGTTTGACAGGTAAAGCTGATAAGCACCATAATGTGAGATGCTTGATACATATGAATGAACAATATAGAGTAGTATAAGTAGGTCAGAGGGAAGACCGTTTCGGAGTCTTTTTGATCATTAGACTCTAACACAAACCATGAATGGTTCTTTGAATCACTCTTTCTTCTTTTAGCTTCAACAGTCCTTATATGGTAGCTTTTTGTTTTTGGGTTGTTTTGGTGTGTAGGAACCCAGGAGGAACTCCAGAATGGCTAGGCAGTGCGTTGATCGCTGTTGTTATTGCTACTTTCATAAGTTTGACTGTTGTATACCTCCTGGCTTATATCCATCTCTCAGGTAATTGCTCTATTATCTCAGTAATCACAAACTTCAAAGTAGATTAAGCATAACAATTCTAGACAAAACTTAATTGGTATCCAGGTGCGAAAAGATCGATTGTCATTGCATTATGCATGATCACTGCCCTCTCTCTTGCTCTTGTGACTTCTGGTGTTCTTCCTGCATTTAACGAAGATACTGCAAGAACACTAAATGTAAGTCCCTTTGATTCTTTAAATTATTTTGTGTTTCAAAAACACACTATGTGACTCGACCCTTTTGATATATCAGGTAGTACATGTTGTGGATACAAGCGGGGAAGAGCAAGTGTCGTTCATAACGCTATTCTCAAACACTCCTGGAAACCTGAACATTGAAGCAGAGCAGATTCAAGAAGGGTTCACTTGTGGCAGAGAGAATAAGGTTGATTTCGTCAGTTTCGAAGCTAAGTACAGCTGTGTGACCAAGAAAGACGCTGAAGCTGGATGGGACAAGAACGATATTCCGGTTCTGCGTGTCATAAACGGCGACAAAGAGAGTGACGAGAGGAAGAGAAGAGTCATATCGGTTTCAATGGACACAGGAGGATCTTGTCGCTGGACTCTTGGCATTGACATGGAGGAAATAGAAGACTTTACATTGCATGTTGTAGGTGAGGATGAAGAGTTGATGATAGTACAAGGCGAGAAAAGGAGCAACGAAGAAGGATGGCATCATATTCAATTCTCAGGCGGGAAAAAGTCGGCGACAAGGTTTGTTCTGAAACTTTACGAGAAGAAGGAAGAGGAGAAGAAGAAGAAGAAGAAGGAGAAGAAGGAAAGACCTGTGTTGAAACTGAGAACTGACATGGATCGTGTCACTCCACAAGTCCAAAGGGTTATCCAGAGATTTCCTTCGTTTTGCTCAATGTTTGGAAAATCCACTTCTCCTTTCACTCTCGCCTTTCTTGCTTCTCTTCCTTACACCAAATAACACTTGCCTGCTTCTTCTTGGTAACGCGTGTTTTTATTAAAAATGCACAATACGATTTTTTTGTTGTTGTTGTCCAGATCAAAGCACGAGTTTGAGGTCAAGAGAGTAAATGAACTGTAAAAACAGGAAGAAATTTAGCGCGTAAATTACTAAAAATGCAATTAAACTATGTACCAAATCGTTTTTCAGGATTATTTAAAATGGTTAGAAGTGAATTGCTAGATAAATAGAGATGATAAAAAGGGGCAGCATTCCGAATTTTTTTGAAAAAATTGTTTTTTAAGATTCCATAACCTTTTAAATTCGACTAAATTGAATAGTAGTTAAATAGTGGCCAACCAATAAGAAAATAATAAATACTGTATGTATATTAAAAAAAAAATGCGAAGATGCATAATTAATTTTGGCCGTGCCTATAGACGCTCCCAAGTCCTCAACTATACAAACAAATAAACAATTTGTTTCTAACATGGTAATTTTTTTTAATATATTGATTAATTCTTCTAGAAATAAATTAACTTAAATTTCATATAAGTGTATAAATAATAGTATCTATTTTCAAAAATTATTATTATATTTTTTAAAATAAAGAAATGAGAGTTTGTCCGAGTTGATCGCGTATTGGGAAAAACAATCCCATAGATAAAATAAATAAAAATTTGAATTTTGGTGTTATTATTATAATTTTGTAATTTGAGTCTCGCTCCCAACAAACATCACTAAATAGTCTGATGTTTGTTTGTTTGTCACTTTACCAATCTCTCTTACAGATCTTCCTCTTCATCCTTCTCTCGATTCCACTATCTTCTTCTTCCTCAACCTTGCTATCATTAATCTACCCTCCCTTCTGATTTCAATCCCAGACACATTTTCCATTGATAATGGCGGACCAAACCTCCGATTCAACATCTTCCCCGGCTCTTGTCTCCGTATCTTCTCCTCCTGCTCCTGTAAACTCTCTTTCTCTCTCATTTTGCGATTCATGGCCGCGTAGTCTTAGGGCTCTGGGTTTCTGAGTTTTGGTCTTAAATTGAGAGTTTGCGGCTGTTTTATAATCTCTATCTAGGGTTTGGGGTTAACCGTGTCATTTCGGACCTAGATCGATGTGTTTGTCTGCAACTTCCGTAGATATAATTTTTCAATTTTAATTCTCAATTCGAGTTGAAATGCTATAGAAGGACTCGTTTCTTTCTGCTGTTCCGATTATTTTGCCTGCGATTTCACATTTTTATTGTGGATTTCAACATTTTACAGGCGTTCCAGTAGATTTTATGTTTATATAGAGAGAAATTAGACTTGCACAGATTTAATAATCTCAGATTCTGATTACAGTTTGATATTGAGTTGATTCACTTGCAAATCATTTTTTTTTCATTTGGTGGTTTTTGGCTATCATTGTGTATCTCGGAGTCAGATTTTGTTGCAATAATTCTCCCACAATGGTGAAGAAATAATTGGAATTTTTATTGGCATTGTGGTTTTTGTTCTGTGCAAATAATCTTTATCTTAACTATCAACATAAATAAAACAACAAGCTCATTGATGTTAGAGCATTGATTGCCCTTCAAAATTTGTTGCTTTTCCTGTTTGCTGCTCCTTGTCCTACTGAAATGTGATGTTGATCTTGATTGTTTCTTCTTATGCAGAAGAAAGAAATTTCCAGTCCTGTTGATTCCAAGCTCACGGTATGTTGATCTTGATGGTTTCTTCCAATCTTTTTCCTGTTAGTATTTCTTCTAGTCAGAATCATCTGATGCCAAGCGGTTTTCTCAAGTCTGGATTTGGTTTTCTGTAGGAATTGAGCGAATCAAGGGCCGAGTTGCTTAACAGGATCCAGAATCTGAAACAGGTTTTTTTAAAACCATATCCTCATCTCATATTTTGCCATGTTGTTCAAACATTTCTAAACAAAACAAAGCTCACAGGACTTGCAAAGTTGGAGAGGAAAGCTGGACACACAAGTTAAAGTTTACCGTGAGGTGAGTTCCATCTCTAGTCCTCTCAATACATTTTGTGGTTTTCCTTTGACACAAGAGCTCTTCTCCTCTTGAACTGTTCTTGAAATTTGATATGTAAACTCTCTTACTCGGTGCTTAACAGGAGCTCTCTGGGCTAAAGAAGACACTGAATCTTGAAGTTGAGCAGCTCCGTGAGGTATGTATGTATATTGAGCAACAGGCAAACATCGATATCTTACCTGGTTTCTGTTTGACGATGCACATTACTGATTTGCTTTTCGTTTCTACAAAAAACCAGGAATTCAAAGATCTGAAAACCACCTTAAGTCAGCAACAAGATGATGTTTCAGCTAGCCTTAAAAGCTTAGGCGTGAGTCTCGTATTACATTCTTGTTCATAAATCATAATAGTAAAAATGTGTATAACCTGGGAAAAAGACTGGCTTATAGCTAAACGGAAACTAGCCTATGGTTGCTTCATGATTCTCTGGTTGTTGTCCTTGCAGCTACAAGATAACTCCAAGGATTCAAAAGAGCAGATGGATAAGGGAGGCGATGCGACAGAAGAGAAAGTGGAAGCTCGGTCGAGTGATGACAATGTGAAAGAAGCAGAGCATTAGAATTTAGATGATGAAATTGATTGTTCTTATGATCTTGTGACTCCTACGTTTAGGTTGTACCAGTACTCTTGGTCTGTAGTACCGCGGTTTAGTTCATTCTAATGATGCACCAACTCGTGTAATGATCTCAAAACCAAGCTTCTTGACAATCATATGGGAGAGATTGTGGTATTATGAGATTCAACAGTTTCTATTAACCAATAAACCAAACCGGTTCGGTCTAGGATATAAACCGGGTAACCAGATTTATCCCCATCACACGGCTCACACACATTCAAACACAAGTTGTGGCTTTTGTAGGCTCATCAAATACACTGCACTCTGGATTTCGAATAATTATTTTTCTATATAATACAAGTATATAATACCAACTATTTACTTATGTTTAATTTTTGGGGAAAATGTCTTATACTCCATTGGTTTCAATATATTAATCTCAAATATTTCTCACTGTTAGCCAATTTGAGCCTTAAATGAATTTCTTTTTTATAAGTTGGTAGCATATACTCAAGCAAATACGTCATAGTTTATTGTCATATCTCTCACGTTGAATAAAATCAAAATCGAAAAGTCAAACAATCTAGTGTTTGGCATCAGGCAATTAGAACGCGTTAAAACATCATTATTAGATCTCAAAATTTTAAAAACCAGTTGTATAGTTGTATTTTCACAGTCAAGTGGCATAACCCGTAAATAATTCCTAATCCTAGTGGCATTTTCCTGCCTTCTTTCTGTTTTAAACCATTTCTTTCTCTGTTTTTGATAAAACTTTTGAACCTGACAAAAAAAAAAGCTACAGAGAGAGAGAGAAATAATGAGAGGACTCTCCAGAAAATCCGGTGGATCAATCTTCCCGATCATCGCAATTCTCACCGTTTACTGGCTATTCACCGCCGCAACCTCCCAATCCACCGGTTACGCCGTCGATTTCATGCCGATCGAGACAGAGTGCACTGGTTCCATCGCCGAGTGCTCGACGGCGGAGTTCGAGATGGACTCTGAGATAAACCGGCGCATCTTAGCGACTACGAGGTACATCAGCTACGGTGCGCTGAGGAGAAACACAATTCCTTGCTCTCGACGCGGCGCATCTTACTACAATTGCCGACGTGGAGCTGAGGCCAACCCTTACTCTCGTGGCTGTAGCGCCATTACTCGTTGCAGGCGAACATAATCTCTCTCTTTCTCTCAACCTTAGTTTCTCTTCTCAATTCTTTTGTTTTTACTTATATACAATTTTTCAGATTTTTTTTTTTGGTTTGTTTCCTGGTATTTACTTTATGTTTATAATTTCATTGCAGTATAATTTTCACACAGTCAAATCGTAAACTTATAATACCTATATATATAGTATGTATCTACATATCTGAGAATATTTATTATATGTAAGTTTGATATATGACCAGAAAATATGTGGAACTATCTATAGATGTGTATACATTTCTGATTAATTACATCAATTATCAATAATGATTACATCTCTAGATTAATAATATGTATGGGTGCTTTTTGCATGTGCTGAAGAAATTCCAGATGTTCATTCATATGGAATATATATGGGATATTAAAATGTAGTTGTTCATATTGAAATGGAGGAAGATTATGTATATGATGGGAAGAAATTAAATTTTTGGTTTACAGAAAGAAAAAAAAGAAAGATTAATTGGTCCTTTTCTCTTTTTTTTTGGTGAAATGAATAATTGTGGAGAAGTGGAAAATAGAAAGGCAATAATTATGATTAGTTGGGGCCAACTAAAGGCAGCTTCACATGCAAACACTTTCGGCAGAGCCACACGTGGCGTATTTATTACGTTTTTCTTGGTGTATGCTTTCATTTGAAATGTGAATTCATCATAATTTCGAGCAATAACAACATTACTTTAGTTTTATTTTTTTAGGTCAAAATTGTGATTATAGTTCTTTGTCAATTTTTGAATACAACAAATTTCAGAGATACCGGTTTAGAAACAAAAAAAGGGGGTAAAAAAACACAGCATTAAATATGAATACAACAAATTAGAGACACTTTAATTTAATGCACATCATCTAACGGCCCCTATTTGCTCCTTGGGCCCTCAAGGGTTTTTGCCAATTTACATAAATTATTATATAACTCTTTACACCCCCATAAAACAAAATATAATAGAAAAATTAATATAAACCAAGCTTTGAAAAAGGGATTAATACCTTGGACCGCAGACTCAAACCCCACGACAAGTACAAACCAGCTCATTTGATAATGATAGATTGATAGAGGGCATCTAAATTATTTGTATTTGTATATTTCTCTCAAATGCATTCACACTTTTTAAGAATTTGTAATGGTGGAAATGCAAGTACCAAATACAAAACCGACGACTCGTTTTTTAAAAAATATAAAAAATGCGATTGAGAAAAGTAGAATATCTATGTTTTCCCTGTAAATGCATATGAAACAAAGCCTAGTTCGTCTTTCAGACTCAATTCAGTCAAATCAAACCTGAGGGAAGACGAGTTGTAAATTGTAATTGCTAGGACTTAAAACGTCACACCCTACGATTCATTCGACTTATCCGTTCTCTCAAAACCAAAATAGAATAGCATTTCACAAGTGCAGAAGAATGTAAATGTAACACCACATCATCAATCTATTTGATGAACTCAACAACATCTTCATGTCTATAAAACGGGAACTTTAAAAAAAAGTAATACTGCTCTTAACAAATTTGACAGTGTTCTCTCTGCAGATGCAGCCATTAGCGAAAAGGATCATGACCTTAAGTGGAACCGGTAGGTGTTTTGGGTTCATCGCCTGATTTGGAGGCAGGAGGAGGAGTGCCTTCTACTCCCATCTCAGCTCTTAGATCATTGATGCTTTGCTCCAGCTCATTGATTCTGCCTCCCATGTCATCGAGTGATACCATCAAAGTCAAGGAGATCACGATTTATATAAAAGGGATAGATCGAAACAACCAATGTCATGAAACAAAAATTGCTGAACAAAATTCTGTGACTCGAGTGCACAATTCTTGGTGGCAAATGTCACATGTATTTAAAGAACAAGAGACACATGTAAATAAGAGCAACTTAACTAGAGAACATAACATAACATAGAACCATGTCCTACTTTCTACAGAATAGACTCTCAAGAAACATCAATCAGAGAAAAAGGCGGAGACATCAAATATGGGCATTAGGTAATTTTCGATTCTTATTACTAAGTTTCTTTACTTCGATTTAATGGCAGAGAGAAACTAGTATCAGAATCATTATTCCTGCTCTAAGAGGGAACTATTTGACATATTTTAATGGAAGCAACATTCAAGAGTAAAACCACAGATTGATTATAAGGATATTCTTTGTGATGATGGAGTCCGACATCGTCTGGAACCTGGTTTGCTGAAACACACAATAAAAAACCGAAATTTATCAGAATCTACCTGTTGAAGCTGTAATCCAAGGCCTAAGAAAGACATAAAAGCTTGAAAAAAACCCACCATCTGCTGCAGAAGGTTTTGGACCTGCGTATAAGAAGAAATTCAAGGATTCAGTGAATGATCAAGTGAAACTGTCTCTCAAAGTCAAAAGTATACAGAACAAAGAGATTCTGAAATGAACATAGAATATTTCTATTATAAATGGATAACTCACAAAAGCTGTCATATCAGCAGTGCTCTGCTTATTATCCTCAGAATCATGCCCGTCCTGTCAGCAAAAAAAAAAAAAAAAACACACACACACAGATTCATAACTCCATTAATCTATTACATGCATCAGGAAAGGAGGAGGAAGATGAAGCTTTATGATAATGATGAAATCGATGAAGGTCAAAAAGTAAAGCAATTCTATCTGAACTATCTTAGTACCAACATTTCAACACAGCAATATCAATACACGGGCATATTTCTAAGCAAAGACTATTCAACATCTTCATATACAAGAAGATCGCCATCAGATCCTGAACTGTGTTTTTTTTGGCAAAGACTGAATTCTCAAGTACAACAAATCCACAGATGGAAAAGCAAATCGATAAATGTGAAAGCCTTTTGAAACTCGGAAATTATGATCAAAATCGTCAATATTTCATTGGCGTTCTAAGAATTTCAATGACGTTTAAGCCAAGAGCAAACAGATGTAAGAAGAAGAAGAATGGTTGCCACAGAAATGTATTAAAAAACAAAAATTGCGATAATCATCAATCTACAGAAACAGAACAACAATAGATAAAAATCATGCTAAATGCCACAGAACTGTATAAACCTAACAATCCCAATATCTCAAAAATTAGCCCTAAATTCTAATCGACAAATCTGAAGAACGGGCTTAGGGTTCCGTTCACGAATCAAAAATTCGATTGAAAATCAAGCAACGCGCAATGATACAAAGCATCAATACATACCATTTTAGGGTTTTTTTGCGTCTGATCGGAGGATGAAGAAATCTAATTCAGCGAAAATCGATGAGACGATGGAGAGCAGCGATGTGTATGTGTGTAGAGAGAAGTGTATGTGTATGTATCACCTTTAACCCAACCTGTAAATACAGAATGTCCAAAATACCCTTTTACTTTGGTACAGTTATGATTGGATCGAGTGGGATCATGTGTATTCAAATTTCAAATCTAATTTTTGACATTCGAAACTATAAATTGTAACAAGTCCTGCACAAACCAATAAAACCAATAGAAGAAAAAGTTGCAAAACTGACATCAAGAGAATCCGGAATCAAGTGAAAGTAAGTTTTACTGTTGCTTATCACCGTTACATTAGTATTGTATTGTTAATAGTCGTAAACCCAGAATCCAAAGGAAGACCACATCTAATATGTTACAAATTCCTACAAATTTTTTGAGCAATTTAAATAGTTTTTCCACCATAGACACAAGTGAATACAGACATCAACACAGGAACCAAACCTAAAACAGACATGGATCCTCTTATCCTCATCAACATCTTCCCTTCCTGTTGTTCTTCGTGTTTTCTATAGTCTCCAATGGCAAACCCTGTGTGCAAATCAGATGCATCGAGATAGATACCGAGCCTTTTTGTTGCTTGGAACCCAAGTCTACCTCTTCTTGTTCTCACACGTCTAAGAAGAACACTTCCTTCGCTTTCACGTCCTCTTCTCTTCTCTTCGTCTTCTGGCTCTTGCTCCAGACATTCCAGACTCTGTTCATCCCAGAGGATTTCAGGGTAAGAATCCAGTAAACGCTTCTTCTTCTCCTCCAAATCATCATGCGAATGAGAATCACCTCCTGTACTATCCCCAAGAAGCAACACATTCCACAATGAGCATAATACAGTCAAAGATCGAAGCTGGGAGCCAAAAACACCGGTCTTTTCCACAACTGTATTCTTCTTTTGCAACGAACCGGCTTTTGACCGGATCTTAACCGAGCAGCACAAGATCAGCAGCTTCAATCTCCAGTCCGCACAAGTAGATTCGCTGGTTTTGTTTCCACACAAAGAGCTCATGTTGTTCTCTACCAAAACAATTCCAGGCATCTTTCTCCGGTCTACACAGCTGAACTCTGGTACCGCTTGTTTGATTGATTGATGCATAAGAGACGATCTCTGAGCAATAAAGTCGTTGTAGCTTGAAGAAGATGGGACATCGGAAGCTGCGTGAGTTAGAACCACGATAGCGTTTCTCCATATCGATGATCCCAGAGAGCTTGTGACGATTCTAAGCAAATGGATGTCTGGATTCTCGTCTATACGGTCAACATAGAGGATGACATCAACAGGGAACGTTCTCATGCTCTTCTTTATCTTCACTAGGACATCTTGATTATACCGTTCCTCAGTTGCAGCGGACATGAGACCTGGCGTGTCAAGTACTCTTATCATGACTCCTCCTACGTTCCCAACTACGTAATTTGCAGACTTTGTGGTAACTCCAAATGCACCAACAGGTGACTTAGTCTCCCCAAAGATAGAATTAACCGTTGCGCTTTTTCCCACCCCGGTTTTCCCGATAACAAGGACGTTAATGGAGAAGTCTAGATCATCTGGAAACTCTTGTTCAGGGAGCATTAGCTTTGTTTCGTCGGACACGTAATCAAGCCCTAAGGACGTTTGATGTTCTTCACCAGCTAGGTTCAGCTTAGACTCAACTTCAGTAACAGCTGGATTTTCACCGGAAAGATCCATTTTTCTTATAATCTTCTGGAGCTTTTCTTTCAAGAGCTTGGTCTTCTCAACTCTTTTCTTCACTTTGTCACTTATAAGCTCCACAGAATGATCCGAGGATAATTCTTCATAATAGTTCTTGAAAGTGGAATCAGAGTGTTTCTCCCTTGAATCACCAGTTTCTTCGTACTTGTCAAGCTCCATTAAAGTGTGATTGTGAATCAGCTGTCCCATCTGCGTCTCATTTTCCATTAAAGCATCAGCAATTACACAAGAATCTTCAGGCATGGTTCTGTCAACATCTTCAACCGAAAGTAAGCTGGTTTCTTCTATGCCCACTGATATTTCATTACGTTCACTATCAGACTGAAAATGAACTTGATTATTCATTTGTTCTGAAATCTGCTCCCCATTCTCCGGATTCTCATTGGCTATCTCAAAGGAACTTCTTAAACTTGATGATATATCTTCATCGGGAAGTAATAACTTCCTATCAGTATCCTCCGATTCTTGCTTTCCTTCGTTTTCAGCCTCTTGTTCATCTTTTTGGTCAGAAGAACCGCACCCACTTACAACAACATCTATTCCTCCAGCGACCTCAAGGTTCCTCGTCGTTACAGCATCTGAAGTCGGACTCAAATGAAAACTTTCAGAACTCATACCACTTTCTGGTTCGCCCTCGCATTCAGATTTTTCTAATTCGCTAACAGCGGCGCAATCATTTTCACATTGCTCTTTTGACTCCCCTATCATATTTCCAGTGTCTTCATCCTCTGATTCTCTTCTTCCTAATCCAATACACCCTTCACCTGGAATCATCAATTGTTCAACCTCAGAAGAACTATCATCATTACTCTCCTGGCTGATACTTCCATTACCTTCCCCTTGTTCGACAACCTGGCTGAAAGATTCATCTGATACTCTATCGGTATCAACAGCGTTTCCTTCACTTTTCACATTGCAATCTCTCGGCGCAACAGCTAGACTAGTCTGGAAAGACACCAAACCATCGCCAGAAAATTCAGCTTGCACTATGTCTTCCTCTGTGGAAACAAGTTCACCTGTAATAGAGCCTGAGCACTCTGGTTTATCAGTTTCTCCTAATTCAGCTGCACTATCTTTTACTCCTTCTACGTCACCTTCCGTCATCAATGCGTCGACTTCATTAATGCTACCACCACCATCATCCTTGATGCTACTTCTTTGAGACAACCCTTCCTCAATGAGTTTCTTGGAAGTTCCACCTAAACCCATGCTCGACTCAATAGAGCTCTCTTCATTTTCCACCATAGAATCAGTAGAACCTCCTGATGGAACACCGAGACTCTGTTCATCGATATTCACAGAAGACATCAAACCATCTTCTAGTTTATCCGAATAGCTCATCCCCACCGCTTCTTCCTCCGTGGAAACGACATCACCTACAACAGAATCCGAGCACTCTGGTTCATCAACCATTCCCATATCTCCCAACTGCAATGTCCTATCTCCAACTTCGGTTTCTTCATCATCACTTGGAGCCTTTGTTACACGCACCAACGACCCCTCTTCATCACCACTACCCAAAACTTCATCAAACTCATCATCATCCAAAGACAAAACGGCCCGAGGAATGACTACTTTTGCTTTCATGCTAACAACACCATCAGCTTCACTAACTTCACCCTCGCTAACTTCATTACTGATCTCACTCTCTTCCTCAAAAGAAGAGTTATTCACCGACGTTTCCTCCTCAACATCACCTGCAAATGGTCTATAAATCACACTTCCTCCTGAAACATCGCTCCCATCTCCAGTTTCTCCACCTCGAAGGCTATGAACCCTAACTCCACCCACAACTACATCCTCTAACTCAGACTCATCGTCTGCATCCCCCGAAATCGACCCAAACCCGTCATCATCAGTCCCAGAATCGAGTCCTTTACTATAACTACTAACGTCACTACCGACTGAGTTATGTTCGTCCGTAACAGAGCCAGAATCATCATCGTCATCGATTGTAAGAGGTGCACGGATTGGGAAAGAACCTGCAGAGGAAAACGTGCCGGAGAGATTGCGCGTGAGAAGGAACGCATCAGCTGCCACCGCTCTTGCCGCAGGAATCACAATACCTCGAGGTTTTACCGAATCAACCGCTCCTGCCGCAAGAATTGATATACCCCGAAGCTTCTCTGGCTCCATATTACCTTCTTTATATAGTTTATATATACCCAAAGAATCCAAGGAGACACAGAACAAAACAAAGGAAAATCGACAAGGAAGAAGGACACATAAGGAGTTTTTTGTGATTTTCTGTTTGTCTGACAGGATTTTTAGGGTTTTGTTAGGATTTATCTGAAGCTTGTGGCTATGGAAGTGATGGTGTGGAAGACGAGAGGACACACAGAGTAGAGTGACTAATTTACAAAATGGGCGGCTGAAGAAGACAAAAGCAAAAGAGTTTGCCTAATAAAAGGACAAAATAAAAATTATCAATTGGGGTCAATTTGAAATTTGAATTTGAAAAAGGAATATTCGGAATATTTAAAAAGGTTTGGGGTTTATTTGTTAATAAACTTTTTTTCTGAAATGATGTGCCTAATATTTTGGCTTGGACGAAGCTCTCTGGCTAACCATTTCCGCCGCAGCCACCATGGCGGCTTTCCGATGCGCCGACTTCACATCTCCTTCGACTTTCCTTCCGTCGTACTCCGGAAATAGAATCTCCTTGAAAGTTGTCCGGTGTTCTTCCTCGGTTTCGATTCCGCTCTCGTTAAAGTTATCAAAAAGGAAAAATTACCTGCGGCCCAAAATCCTCAGAACCCTAAATCCGAAGCCAAAGGAAACCGTCTTAACCGGAATCGAGTCGCCGGAAAATGTTCCTCCAAGCGACGTATTATCCAACCAGGAAGATGCTCTAGAGGAGCTTCAGGTCGTCTCAAGTAGCTCGGTTGTGCCGAACGAGATGAGTGGCATATTGAGTAAGCTCTCTCCGAAGTCAATAGCCAAGTATGGATTGTTTTTGATCGGAATATTCGCTTTTCAAACTGTGTGCGCTGTTTTGTTTCTCGGAAACTCAACAAAATCCGGCAAAACGCCGAAAAATTCGAGTGAAAATGTGGATAGCGGGGATTCGAGTAGGAGTGTTTCACTGAATCTAAACGGGCAAAATGAGGGAAGAACGAGCAATGCGGTTTCTCTAGAAGATCTTGAGATGAACGAGAAGATTGCAGAGATCAGAGCCATGGCACGGGAAGCACGTAGGAGCGAGGAAAAGAGTGGTAAGAGAGAAGAAGATGAAACCTTGAATCCTGGTGGAGGGGTTGACATTGAGAAAGAGATAGAAGCAAGATTGTCTAACATGGAGAAACGATTGAACTCGCAGAGGAAAGGGTTAGCCGGATTGCGAGTAGAACCGTTGGATGAATCTAGAAATGATGAGAAAAGTTTGATGTTTGAGAAGAAGTACAAGTTCAAACCAGAGAAACCGGCGAAGGGTAAAGTGAAAGGGTTTGGTGGAAGTAAAGGAAACAATGAGACTGGGGAAAATGGGAGTGTTAGTGAATTTAGAGATGGCGAGAAGAATACTGAAGAAGAAGAGCAAGAAGAAGCAGGGCCTTCAGATTCCAAGAAGATTTCTGGTAGGTTTTATGAATAAGTGCATAATCCTGCAAACATCTTGTGTATAAGTACGTTGATGAATATGAAAACTAGCCATGAAGAAGAACGATCTTGCAATCCTACAGCTTATCTTAATATGTTTAGGTGATGCTCAGGAATCTGAGCAAAGGCGACCATCAAACGAAGTTAACAATTCAAGAGAATCTGGAAATCAAGTTGGGCGGAAACCAAACATGGAAGCTGGTTCTGGATTTGGTAGGACTTTATTCTCAGGGAAACATGGAGATGTCAGGAAAGGAAACTCGTTGAGAAGAGTCAAGGAGAAACAGAATATGATGTGGTGGCTGAAGCTTCCCTATGTGCTGGTAGGTTTGTGATTTTAAAAAGCTCTGATTTGCCACAGATCCAATCTCACTTCATGAGCCACACTACTGACTGTTTGCTCCTTGTCTTCAGAGAATTCTTATGCGGAGTAATATCGACCAAGAAATATCTGAGGGATACTTTACTATTAGGACCGAGTCTATGGAACAAAAGGAGGGCCAGGTTTCACACATGATTGCATTTGAGGATCAAAGTGATGCTATAAACTTTTCTTATCTGCTCGAATCAGTTTTTGAAGACTTGGATGATTTCAGCGCCAATGTAGCTCCCATATCAACCAAGGTACAATCATCTCATTCTTTTACTAAACAATCTTCTCTCTAAATGTCCCTATCTGTGAAATTTCAGAGCAATAAAGACATTTCAGAGGAAATGAGATTTGAGTTTTTTTTTTTTAATATTATTGTAGGATCTTCATAACGAAGTGAGTTCTGGTGACAAGAATGTGATTGTGGTGAAGAAGAGGCAGCTTACGCTTTATGCTGGACAACCATTTGAAGATGTTGAAAGAGCCCTTCATGCTCTGATCCAAGAACAACGATAAAATAGTAACAAGTTGCTTCCATATATTTGGACTCGTTTTAAAGATTATTATGACAATAATGTCTCACCTAATTCTGAAAATTGGGAAATTTGAAATGCAAGAGAGACAATACTTGTTAGTATCCTTAGTTAATACATACACATCACAAACTAGTCCTCAGCGAAATCTTTGACCACAACCTCCACTATCAGAAGAAGCAAACATTAATTTCAGAATATAAAACCACTGGGCAAGAAACTCCTTCCTTCTTAATTTAGATGCATTAAATGTTTAGGATTTAATTTAAGGACACTTTTGGGAAATTGTATCAAGGAAATTAAATCCCGAAAATTGCAACTGTTAAATGTTAACATGAAACAACTCGACCATTTTGATTTGGTTGTTTCGTCACAAAACGGTAAACCACAACGCCGATTCTGGAACCTTGTGGAGGAACATCAGAATGTATAACGTCAACATCAAAAAGCTTTCGAGCTTTCTTGAAGAAGACAGATTCTTTCTTCCACCTCCTTAGATGAGCCATTAGAAAAATGAACCTCTTCCCCTCTGACTGCATCGTCGTCATCAATAAACGCAGCGTTTTGAGCAGAGGCTCGTAGAGATGGTCGTGGTACACAACGTCAGACGCTAAGATCAGGTCAACGTTCCTGCCCAGAAGCTCCACGTCATCAGCCTCTCCCCATCGTAATGATGCCACGTGGACTTGGCCGCCGAACCTCGCCACAACTTGAGCGTTCGCGTCGGCGTTGAAGCTGAGGTTGTCGAGGACGTGTGGGAGATCCGTCACCGTGACGTTAGCAGAGAGAGTGGCCGCCGCAGCGATCCCGACGACGCCGGTTCCGGATCCGAGCTCGAGTATGTTTATCGACGGAGAGGATGATGAATCAGGACCGTCGGATTTTAGCGACGAGAGTGTTGCGGCGAGGGGGCTGTTGCTAGGGTCACTGCGGTAATTATCCAGCAGCGTGACGAAAGTAGAAGCGGCTGGCCAAAGCTGGAAGGAGAGACCCTGTGACGTCATTTGACGGATCACGACCGTTGACTCAATCGAGCTGATGTTGTACTGCTGTAGCTCCGGTGCACCGTCACACAGAGGAGAGAAACTCTCACCTTCGATCCCATTATCGCCTATGAGGAGCATTTTGGCTTCGTCCTCGCCGCTTTCCTCATCGTCGTCTCGGAGAGTAGGAGTTATCATCAAAAGTTAGTTCTCTTTTTTTGGCGGCGCCAATGTTGTCGCTCGCTTGTAGTTATCACTTTCCATATTTGTTGTTTTAGTAGGGCAATTTTAGGTAAACTACACGTGGAATCTTTTTATTGGTTGCTAACATAACGCATTTGTCCTCAGCAAAAGAGAGACCAGGAAGTCTCTCGGCGAGACAGAGAGTTTGGAGGAGCTTAGTTCTAGACAAGATTAACGCTGGATTTTAAAAAAAACAGAGTTAATATTGCAATCTCAGATGATCATCGCTGGATTCATTTCAAGTCCTGAAGAACAAGATGAGCTGCGTTTCTTCCCGGTGCGCCCATAACTCCGCCTCCCGGATGAGCTCCGCTTCCACACAAGTAGAGACCTTTTAAGGGGCTTCTGTAATTAGACCTGTGTGTCACATTTTTCACACAAAACATTTGAATCATGAATCGTAAAGACGGTTTCTGAGTTATGAGAGTGCGTAGATTATACCATCCTTTCACAGGTCGCATCAAGAAGAGAGAGTCTAATCCCATGGCACCGTGAAAGATGTTTCCACCTGCAGAATACAAGATTGAAGGGATGTCAATATGGGTTATTAGCCATATCCAATTTATAAGGATATTTACAACATAATTTACCTGTTAGACCAATTTCCCGTTCTAGGTCGGGAGGTGTCAGCATATCGTAGCTAATGATGGACGAGCTAAATCCAGGTGCATATTCATCAATCAATTTGAAACATCTTTGTGCAAATGCTTCCTGTTTTAACACAATCAAAGAGTAAACGGGGATATGATTGGCTTGTTTTGTAAAATTTGAGTAGTAACAGCAATGGCGTTGGATAAAACTAAACTAGCTCACTCGATATACAGGATCGTCCCAGCTTCCATCTGATGGCTTGTAAGGAGTGTATTGGATGAACAAGTTGATTACATGTTTCCCTATACACAAAATCACATTCAGAGAGCTAAAATCCATTCTAATACTAAACACAAGTTAAAGGAGAATAAGTGTGCCTGGAGGAGATATGGTATTGTCTAGTGAGGATGGAATAGTCATTTCGATCACTGGTCTTCTTGATGGTAAGCCGTTTTCAGAATCATGACATGCTGAGTGAACCTCGTCCATGCTGGCAGAGCCAGAGATAGAACAGAGCCACTGTTGTTTTTATTTGTTCTTGGAGAGAAAAAAAATCAAGATAAAGTTAGCATGAAGCATACCTCTCTGCACCAATGTGTATAGTGCCGAAATGCTCTGGCCCTGGACTCGAATGATTATTATTAGTGTTGCAGCACCGAAACTGCGGTAACTTATCAACAGCCAAGTTTATTTTGGTCGTTGCCTGTTCACAGCAATCAAACTATTCATCACCAAATGCTTAGCTAGATTGAGCAATGAAATTTGTAAAACTATTTGGGTTCTGTAGAGATTTATCTCTACTTGATCAAGAGAATGAGGAACTTAAATGACATAAAATGCTTACTGAGCTGTAGTCTGAGTTCTTTATAGCATCAACGAACTTTTCAGGAAGAACATTGGTCGGAACCAGCTCCTGTTATCCGAAACAGAAGAACTTAATGCAGACTGACATATAATGGAGTTTTGCAAGTAGAAAAAATATGACATGAAAAGATTTACCACAAAAGTTCTGTAAGGAGTTGCATTGGACAATATAACCGACGACTCCACGCGTGTACCATCAGCAAGCAAAACCTTATACCAGATAATGTCAGATGAGTTTGATTCAAGTTTTCACTTCATTCAGGAATCACTGAAGAGAAACTTACCCCTTTCACGATGCTCGAGTCCTCAGTCAATACTTCAGAAACCTGCAAAGTAAATTAGAGTGTACTTAACCGGTTCTGCTTTAAGATAAGAGAGATGTTAACTAGAATCCTACTATTACGCATAACGTAAGAATGAGGGATGCCTTCAATACCTCTGCGTTTGTGAAAATCTGAGCCCCAGCTTCCTTTGCAGCATTGGCTATAGCCATGGAGACAGAGCCCATCCCACCTTCGACGTAACTGCAAAATATTTCTTATCAGCTACTCAGCAGAGTCAGACCTTACTCTAAATGGTCATCTCGTTGCCCTTCATGTACACCTCGCGGATGCATGTTCATTATTATCAGGTAAAATAGTTCTTTAATTACTTATGCATCCAGACTTATGTAAAAACATACACGAATGCAATTCAATAGTTCATATACTTACGACCAAATGCCATGCTCTCCATCTGTTTCTCCCATCACATGATGTAACAAAACATATCCACTTCCAGGAGTATGGACACTGGCCTGTCAATCAATTTTCAGACCACTACATTAACTCTCAAGTCTCACCTCTCCGCTCCATTAGATTAATAATACATCACAAAACGACTCCATTTCAAGAAATTTGAACCTCAAAGCTTAAGTTCTAAATTAGAAAGGTGAATTACCGTAGATCCAATCACGGCATCTGTTGCAAGAGTCGCCTTCAGGACATCAGACTGCAAGCAAAAAGGCCAACAGAAAACGTGTGACATCAACTATTACTACTACTTGCTAATGCTAATCGTAAGATCAGAAAACCACCTCAAACCAGTTGTTCAAAACTTTTGAAGCTGGGGACAATAGAAGATCCATGAAGTCCCTTCACAAAATAAAACATATACTAGTGCGTTAAAGAGGAGCATTCAGATCAACAATGGGGGGCTTTTAACAAAGCACATTAAGAGATAATGTTACAGCATAGCTTAATCGTTTAATATAGGAGATCATACACCATATCTTTTTGCCCCAAACAAGCTGCTTGTCGAAGACAACGAGCCCAGAAAGCAGATTTGTACAGCTTATTGCTCAGCTTATCATTAAAAGAAGAGACACCTTGCAGAGATTCTGGAGGAGTTGCATCCAAGAGAGGATCCATGAATCCACAGAACCTCTCTAGCTGCTTCTCGTATCTGCAAATCAAAACAAACAGTTTGTAGTATCCTTGTGACGATACTTTAATGCCTAAATTAGAAACAAAATTCACCTTGGGTAAGCATCGGCATCGTGACTCGAGAACTTGGAAATCTCAGAATGATTAAGTGCTTGATCTGGTCCTAGAAGAAGATAACGCCCATCTAAACAAGGGGTGAACGACGAAGGATTCCTCTTCAGAAGCTTCAGTCCGTGTTTGCCTAACTCTAATTCTCTAATTATCCACAATCAGTGATCAGAGACGACGAACGAAACTAAAATCGACCAAATTCAAAAGAGATTTAAGAGTAAAACCTAATAATACACGGACGCATTAGGCTCTGGAGGTAGCTGCAACGTGAAAATTTGAAGCCGGGAACGATCTCCTCCGTCACTGCCGCCCCACCGATGACATGTCGGCGCTCGAGAACGGCCACGGAGAGACCACCGCGTGCCAGGTAAGCCGCAGCGATCAAACCGTTGTGGCCGCCGCCAATCACCACCGCGTCCCATTTCTTCTTCCCCAATTGACCTAACGTCACGCCGGTCGTGCTAAAGCTCCGGCGCCACATTTCTAACTCTTCACTCCCTCCTAAGTAGTACGTTTTCAACTCAAAGTCAATCTGTCACTCAGAGCTTTATTTTCGCCCCAATAGTTTTGATAATTTACAAACAAAACCGACAACTTTATGTACGGCTTACAAAAAATAGCCTCAAATATGTTTTGAGAGTTCATAAAAAAGTCCCAGAATTTAGTACATTTTTCTTTTAGCCCCAACAGTTTGGTAATTATAGTTGTAGTCCAATATTTGGATAACTTTACTTTTCATCATCCAAAAAGCAAATAAACGTTGTGATTAAGCATCTTGTTTGAAATATGCACAGCCTATTCTGGGACAGAACTAATAGGAATGAGAAAAGAAATATTGTTAATAAAATCATGTAAAAACGTATTTTACATGAATCAGAGAATCAAAGAGACAAAGATATTTCTTCATATAGAAAATTTTATTGAGATGAGACGATCTTGATCATGGCTTGCGCATTGAGCCCTGTTACATTCTTCTCACAAAACTTCTGCCACGCTTCTTGTTTGTTCCCTTCTTCTTCTTCTTCATTCCATGGGAATTTCTCGTAAACCGAGTTCACCATACTCCTCGCTGCTTCCCTAGCCTCCGGCAACTTGTCACTCAACAAATCCGCCGCCATTTGAGCAATCATAACCATCCCGAATTCTTCCATTTCGTGTAGATCCTAATATAGACAAAATCAAAATCATAAATTCAAGAACGTGATAAACATTTTCTCTAACCATTCCAAAACACTTTTGAAGAATTTGGAAATTACCATTTTGGAAACGCAGTTTGAGGTAGACACAGCGGCTTTGGCCCTGACACGAGGGTTACTGTGACGGACGTAAGTTTTGAGCTTACGCAGAAGAGGCAAGCGAGCCACAGAGTTAACCATCGTGTTCAGTGCTTTGTCTGCTTCTTCACACACAAACTTCTTGTCTTGTGAAGCTTTCATTAGCAGCTGCAGTAGCTGTTTTATACACATCAAAGATAACAAATGTTAAACCTATTTGTCAAACTATCTATGGCAAATCAAAGCTATAATGACGGATTGTTCATTATCATTACCAGATCATCCATTGATTTCAAATGAGGTCCTTCCAGTAACTTTTCTCCATATGATTTGAAGATATCTGAGCAAGTCATAATCGAGGTCTTGCACAATGCGCTTCTAGGGTTCTTCATTGCCTTCACCATCACAACAATAAGCTTTTCTCTACACAATTCAAATTGATAAACAAACAAAATTCAGCAACGATTCTATAAAATTAAAATCTAATTGAACAAATTAAGATGAGAATGTTACTCACAGAATGGGTAGCAACAGAGAAGAGTGATGAACTGCGAATCTCCTTGTGTTGTTCAGTGATTCACACACTTTGATCCAATCCTTTGATGCTAATTCTTCCAGCAATCTCTTCATTAGATTAACAAAAACCGAAAAATAGATTGAATCCATGATCATCGAAACAAACTACTCAACAAATTTCAAGAATCAGGTAAGAATCTGACCTGAACAGAGGATTCCGGATCTGGAAATGGTTTGAGATTTTCAGAAGCGACATACTCAATGGATGATTCAGGCGGAGGAACGGGGTTGTTCTCGTCGTTCAGACCAATCTCCGGCTGCTTTGAGAGTTTAGGAAGCTTCTTAGGTCGTTCCTGTGAGATCGGAAGAGCGTTTTCAATGTTCCTAAGTGCCATTGATGGAAGTTCTGAGAAATCAAAGAGAGAGAGAGAGAGAGAGAGAGAGAGAGAGAGAGAGAGAGAGATTTGATTTGAATAATTGTTTTGGGGAATAATCCTTGGTGGGGTTGAAAAGTTAACTATAAAGAGGAGAATTTCGTTCTTTTTCCATTTCTTTTTATTTTCAAAAATTCAAAAGGTAAGAGCAAAAGCTAATGGTAGCCGTTGGGAAGGTTTTGGCTCCAACGGTCACAATCCTCGGTTCGGTTCTTAAGAATTAGATTCGGCTATTGAAGTTGGTATTCTCCGGATAACTAATTTCGGTTTATTCAAACGACACCGTTATAATCACTCTATCCAACGACGGCGTTTAGCTCCACTTTTACGCCACACGCGACTTTTTGCAAGTGTATATGTTACAGAGCTCATTCCTTCTTCTTCCATGGCTTCCCCCATTGCTCGTCGTCGTTCGTAATTTCTCCATTTGAAATTGAATTGAATATCCAGAGCAACTGATTTGAATCTTTCTTCGTTGTGACTCCGATCATGGACCAAGAGTATCGGAACCCTAGAACGTCGGTGTCCCACCACCAGCAGCATCATCAAATGAGGATGACGGTTCCTCCACCAACGTCTCCTCAGCCTTCGCCTCCGGTTCCTTCTCATGCTGAAAGTGATCAGAGTACATCGGAGCTTCGTTCTCTTGATTGTAATCTTACTTCCTTATGCGATCATATTCAATCCGAAGGTTTCGGCTCTGGTTCATTCTCCGATGTTGTTGTCAAGACCATGGGATCCAGCTACCACCTCCACCGGTTGATTCTATCTCGCAGCTCTTACTTCAGGTATAATGATCTGCATCATCCATGTGAATTTCCGATTTACAAGGAGGATCGACTTGAATAATCTGGGTTTCCACTTCATAAACAGCTTTTGCGTCTCGTATAAAATTGTAGAGTTTGAATGTTGAATCATAGCTAGAATTTTGATACAATTGAATGGTTAAATTGCTGAATTCTGGAATGATATGGTCTAATTCGATTATTATAGAAATTGGTTCCATTTGATAGGTTTGCTTTTGATATTCATGTTTTGATTATAAAGTTTGCAATTTTGCTAGGAACATGCTCCAAGGTCCATGGAAAGAAGCAAGCTCTCCGGTTGTTAACTTACTTGTGGATGATAAAAATGTTAATGGAGATGCAATTTCTGTTGCTTTGGCTTATCTCTATGGGCATCATCCCAAGCTTGATGATGACAATGCCTTTCGCGTTCTAGCTGCAGCTTCTTTTCTGGACCTTCAGGTATTCTTAGTTCTTAGGAATTGGACCACTCCATTTGATTTCTCAAACATGATGTATATGGTGGTTTGCTCTTCACCAAAATATTATTTTCTTTTGATTCGAGTGATCTAAAAACTATGGGATTTTTCTACAGGATCTTTGTGCAATATGCACTGATTTCATTATTTCTGAGCTGAGGACTTCGAACTTCCTAGCATATCAGGTTTGAGAAATCTCAGTCATGTAAATTTTAAATTCATTGGTCTCCATTGATCTTGAGCACAAAGAACTTGTGACTCAGGTGTTTGCAGAGAGCCAAGACTATGGCATACATGGAGAACGTGTAAGGAATGCTTGTTGGGGTTATCTCTGTCAAAGTGGTGCCATGGAACTGAGAGAGGTAATATAATGTCTGCTTTAGATTGACATTATGAGTTTTATGTAGTCGGTGATGGTCTCGACTCTTTTGGGAATCTGCCAGAAGCAAAACTATCCCCATTCTATCCTGCTCTTGCCCATCTCACTGTTAAAATGTTTGTCCTTACTATTGACATGACGTATCTGGCTTCATCTTCTTCTATGCGTATATGACATTCTACCTAGAAAGCACCTGATATTGAATATGGCAGTATTTAATATGTTCTTCAGCTATAGCGAAGTATCATAGTTTATGTGACTTGCTAATTGCGAAATCGCGTTTTATGGTCAGATGCTGCCAAAACTCTCTGCACAGACTCTATGTGCATTGCTGACATCTGATGAATTATGGGTCCCTAGTGAAGAAAAACGGTACAGAACATTGCATAGACTAGTTAAATCAATGTTTCACTGTATATTAATTTATTAAGTTTCCTTAAACTGTGTTTCTTTCCATGTTAAAAAGGTTTGAACTGGCATTGTATGCCTTCATAGCAAATGGTGCTCTTTCTAACTCAGAACGTTCCAGTGAAGATTCCATTTTCGAGAGAGGGACAAGCTTTTCTGTAGATTCCGCTATATCGAAGGGGAAAGATGTTATAAATGATTTTTCCTACAGGAGTTTGGACTGTAAGTTAGGTCGTTTAGATTTAGAAGATGACCTAAGGGATGCTAGCGATGACGCGATTGTTCCACTCGCAGAAGGTGTTATTGATTTCCAAAGAGGAGGTTCTAGTTCAAACCTCGTGTTTCAGCAATCTGCTAACTCACAGACAAGTTTTGGTCGTCCTTGTACGAGTGTTGTTGATAAGACAGAGGGCAGTGGGGTGGCAATTGAAGGACCTTCTGAAGAAGCATACCATTTGAGTAATGACAGTTGGTTGTCAGGCGCAGACTCTAGAAATTCTCCTACTTTAGGTTCTTCCTCCGATGGTTTTGTGGTCAATGATTGGGGAAACTGTGGCGTTTCTGCTTTTACGTGGGGTGGACGGGTTGTAGGGACGAGGCATGTTACAGGCTGTCTTAAAGGAAAATGGGGATTTACTGAGGAAGAATACAATGCGTTTGTGAACACTTTTGAAGGTGGTTCACTTCTGTATTGCAACATGTCTTTTGAAGTACTTCTGAACGCAAGAAAACAACTTGAAGAGTTGGGTTTCCCTTGTAAAGCTGTGAATGATGGCCTCTGGTTGCAGGTACTTTTCTCATAAAACTTGCTTGCTTTCTCATTCAACAAGTCATAGAAATGTAGGGATAGTGGATATGCTTTGATGCATTTGCACCTAATGCGGCGTAGTGTATTTTGGATAAAAATATCATGAGCAGTCACACTATAGTGTTATATTATTTCTCGCATAAATACGCTAATGTCTTTCTGTTTGACTACGATCCAGATGCTTCTTAGTCAGAGGGTGCAGGAAGTTGCTGCCAACACATGCAAAAGGTGTTGCCATATCAGTATTGCGTGTGCGTGTAAGCAGGGATTTGGGGTGTCACATGGTGCAACCTTCAACAGTTATTATTGCCAAGACAACGTGCAGAGCAACATGGAAAACATGTATGTGACGGAGTCTTCTCAAGGTGAAGGAATTGGCATCTTTAAGCCTGTCAGGATCAGTGTTCGAGGACAACACATCGATGGACTTGCCGGCATTGGATGTGAAGCTACGTTTGTACCACCGCCTGCTTGGCCTCCAACGCCTTTTGTGTACTCTCGTGTCCCCATTAACAGAAATGGTCAGCAACCTATAGCGAGTGATGGTTCTGAAGGTAGAAGTGATCAAAGTGGAGAAACTTCAAAAGACGGCTTGACAGCACTAGTTGGGCTCAGCCAAGGGACAAGTGGAGATCAAAATGAGGGAGGGCGCAGCAGTGGAGCAACTGTTGGAATGTCAGAACCAAAGGAACCTTCACTAGGGACTGAGTGGGAGAACGCAAGTTGTACCATATCACTCGATACAAGGACACCTTTGTGTCACTTTCCTCCCTTTCGTTTTGGGTAAGTTTTCGTTTTGTTTACGTGTAACTATCTCTCTTGGTTAATTCTCACTTTACAGTGTTACTCCTTGCTTTATCCTATTTTGGTAAACAGTTCCTCTCAGCTACTATCTTTTTCATTTTCTTGTAGAGTTGAATTTGAGGATGTCCATAGACTCGCTAACGGTCATGTAGAGCACTCTCCTGAATTCTTCTATGCTGGTTCTCTGTGGAAGGTATAAAAAACTCTTAACTCAGTCATCAAACTTTTTCTCTTGGAGCTGTTCTGGCTTCCCCAACCATGAAATTTGTTTGATGAGACGTTTTAATACCGTATCCAGATTAGCATTCAGGCGTTCAATGATGAAGACCCTCAAGGACGCCGAACGATTGGTAAGCCGAGTCATCAACACAATGAAAAGAAGATCACATGTTTCCCTCACATTATTTTGTGTGTCGTAGTACTCAACTTGATAAACCATTTCTACAGGATTGTTTCTTCACCGTCGCAAAGCAGAGATAGTGGATTCACTAAGGAAGGTCAGTCTTCTATGGTACATTGTTTATAATAAAGCTATAAATAATCATGTACTGTGAAATAAGTAATAACAATCTCTCCTCCAACATTCAGGTCCACGTTTACATAGATCCTCGTGACAAAGTGACTGCACGTTACCAGGTATCTTTTCAAGCTCTCATTGATATTTACTTGCATCTGAAACATAGTTATCCTTGTCAAACTCGTATTACATACGTTTATATTGTCTCTTCTGGATCTTGCAGCTGATCTGCCCATCGAAAAGAGAAGTGATGTTGTTTGGGAGCTTCAAGCAAAGAGGAACTCTTTTGCCGAAAGCTCCGAAAGGGTGGGGATGGCGAACCGCACTGCTCTTCGATGAGCTCTCTGAACTTCTCCAGAACGGTGCTCTCAGAGTCGCTGCCGTGGTTCAGCTCGTCTAGTAAAACACTCGACAATCCTGTATGTAAAAATAATATTGCTTCATTTTGTAAGGGCGTAGAACAAAAATCCAAATATGTATATTGGAAACTATAAGCAACCCTCTTCACCTAAATATTTTATCTACTTCCCTAAAGCTATCGTGCATGTTATAAATGCGAGACAGTGACAAAACATGTTGGAATATGAAGAGATGTGTATAGCATTGATTACAATGACTTCTTTCATTACTCTCTCTCGCCCTACTCTTTAAGGACAGTATTGCCACTTAAAATGGACGAAACTTTAGGCCCATGTTTGGTTTTCATGGGCCGTAGTTTCTCTAAACGAATTACTTTGTTTAAACCAAAAAGGGAATAATACTATTTGTGGTCTGTTTTCCATTTGAAGCAACAAGCATCGAAAACAGAGGTTTTCCCTCTACTTTTTGCTACAAAAGTCTCAAGTCTCTCACCTAAACCCTGAGATCTGCAAAAATTAGGGTTCAGAGGAGCTTGTTTCACCTTCTCAAAGAAACTAGGGTTTTCAAAACGCGGCTAAGAACAAAAGAGAGTGACACTAACAACAATGAAGCAAAGTTCTCTTTATCCCATTCCTCGTTCGTGATTCTTCTTCTCTCTTTGCAAAACGCATTCTAGACACTGATTTCTGATTTCTTCTTTGTAGCAGAAACTACTTCGGATGAAGATCAAAGACGGTATCTAGATGATAGCAGTAATGCATTCTTTCCAGTGACCCTAAATCCCAAGAAGAGAAGCCAATTGGTAAGAACAGGAAGCGAAATGTTGAAAATGTCAATATAATAATCGTTTATGCTTTTGTTTTTTTTGTCATGATGCAGCGCATACCTTCTAAGGTTATAAAAGACTATGGCTTAAACTTCACTGAGAGTATAACTCTCGTGGATCCACTCGTGAAAAAAATCGGGTCGCTAGAGAGGAAAATCAAGATTCAGATGAATGGATCTGTGTTTATTAAGGGATACGGAGCTATACTCAGAAGGAATAACATCAAGTTAAAGGATAAAATGATATGCGAGTTGAAGAAGACGGGTAATAACAATCTGGTTCACACAATCAAGTTCCACATTATCACTAGATAGATCATTTCATATGAGTCTTATGCGTATAGTTGATGTGAGTGGTTCCTATGTGACATCTTAGCTAGTGTTAGTGGTTTATTTATCTTGTTAAGTTTAATAAGTTAAGTCAAGACGCTGTTGTGGTTGGTGTAAGAGTTTCTAATTCCTGTAATCTTGTCAGATCTATCTTGTATTGTGTTGTTTAATCTACTCTCGTTCTGTGTGGCTCCAACAACAAAGGCAAAAAACACCCATTATCTTCAATTCTTCATACAAATAGATCATTGTACTACATTTGTTTGAACCAAGGTCGGATTAATCTCAGAGACGTTATAGTAAAATCACAAATGGGGGCTTAAGTTTATGTTTTTCTTATCTTAGCCTTCACTTTATGTTACAAATCAGAAGAAGAAGAGCCAAACTGTGGCAATGGATACGGTTTAGCCCTTAAGCGTCAAAATTTGAATTCCTTTCGGTTCACTTGTACCAGCTTCAAAATCTATCAGAAAAGAGAAAACCATGAAACGAATCAGAGATTAGGGAAAAAAAACATAGACAAAAACGATGTCGTTTTGTAACTAGGGTTTTTGATTTCGTTGAAACGGCTTCGTTTTAGTCCTCTTCTTCAATCTTCGGCCTTGGTCTCCTCCGGTGAGTTCTCTTCTGCTGGAATTCTGATTAGATTCCCCGTCGTTCATTACATACTACGAATCTGCTGATTTCTCGTATCTCTGTTTGGTTTCCATAGAGAAGCTTCTGTCTCTGACCTATTCACTCACTGTCACAACTTTGAGGTTTCCTCTGCTAGCCATCGCCGGAGAGATTCTTCAGAGAGAGAAAAAAACGCTTAAGCGACTATGGGTAGACAGGAAGAGGCTTCGGCGGAGAGAGAGACCGATTTGGTTGTTCCATGGATGAGAGCTCCGGTAGACGTCAGCCATGTCGAAAACTGCGCTCTCGAAACACTTCCTTGCCTTGATCCAAGGTAACAGCAACATGTACAAGCTTTCGTTTTGATTCAAGTATCTCTGGTATCGCTTTGATTCTTTGCGTGAGTTTAGAAAAAATTTGCCAGCTGAAACTGAAATTTGCTTAGTAGAGTGCTATTAGCTGGAATTGAAATGAGTTCGTGTTGTATTGTATCAAGAATCAATCATCCTTTTCCAACATTCATAAGAGAAAGAACTGTTTTTATGCAATCATTAGGTTGAGCAAGGCATTGGAGAAGATGGATATATCTTCACTATTTCCGGTGCAAGTTGCAGTTTGGCATGAGACGATAGGGCCAGGTGGTTTCGAGAGAGACCTCTGTGTTAACTCTCCAACAGGAAGTGGAAAGACTTTGTCTTACGCTTTACCAATTGTGCAGATCCTTTCCTCTCGTGCAGTTAGATGCCTCCGTGCTTTAGTCGTACTGCCCACTCGTGATCTAGCCTTGCAGGTAAGGTTCCACTCGTGCTCATTCAGATAAGGCGATAGTCTCCCACACTTGTTCCACTTCTGTACTCAAGTCCCCTTTTTTGTCATTCCTGGTCTTTAGGTGAAGGATGTGTTTGATGCTATAGCTCCAGCCGTGGGATTATCTGTTGGTTCAGCTGTGGGTCAGTCTTCGATAGCTGGTGAAATCTCACAGCTCATCAAGAAACCTAAGCTTGATGCAGGGATATGCTATGATCCCGAGGATCTGTCACAGAACCTTGAAAGTGCTGTGGATATATTAGTAGCAACACCAGGAAGGCTTATGGACCATATCAACAACACCAAAGGCTTTACTCTTGAGCATTTGCGTTACCTTGTATGAACATCACACCAGAATTTTCCACTTCTTAATTTCCAAATTTTGTTTTTGATGAAGCAAGTGTTCCAGGTTGTTGATGAAACCGATAGACTGCTAAGGGAGGCATATCAATCCTGGCTCCCTACTGTTCTGAAACTCACTCAGACATCTGACGATGGCCTCTTTCCTTCATCTACACCGTTTCTTCCTTCCGCTTTTGGTTCTCTGCAGACTATTCGTAGACAGTGAGTTTTTCCATCTCTATGTTAAATAGTTCTAAGTCGAAACTGATTAAAAGTGACTAATGTGATGGCTACTTTAAATTTTTCAGAAGTGTAGAGAGAGGTTTTAAGGGTAAACCATACCCGAGGCTGGTGAAGATGGTTTTATCAGCTACATTGACGCAGGACCCAAGCAAGCTTATTCAGCTTGACCTGCATCACCCGCTATTCATGACAACTGGAGAAAGCCGATACAGACTACCCGAGAAGTTGGAATGTCTTAGACTGGTATGTATGCGTGTTTAAATATGTCTTCAACTTTGTGTTTTAATGTTGCATTTATTTGCAAAAGCTCATCTCCAGATTCTGCTTCCCATGTCTTTTTAACAGACTTGCGAACCCGGGACCAAGCCTGTTAGTTTAGTCGCTCTCTTAAACTCATGGGAAGATGAGAAATGTATCATTTTCACATCTTCTGTAGAGACCACTCGTCGTCTATGCATTTTACTTAACCTTTTCGGTGAATCAAAGATAAAAGCAAAAGAGTATTCAGGTGGCCTTGACCAATCAGTTCGAAGGTAATATATGTTTTGAATCTTACATTACTAGTAGCACCGTGTAACTGCCTTTGGCACCCATAACAAAGGGAACTTTGCTCTCGTTTGCTGAACAAACTTTTGCATGCAGCAAAGTACTAAAGGGCTTTAGAAAAGGAGACATTCAATTTCTCGTTACATCTGATGCTCTAACTCGTGGAACGGATGTTAAAGGGGTAACAAATGTCATTAATTATGATATGCCTCCATTTGCAAAGACCTTCATCCATCGTGCTGGAAGGACAGCTAGAGCAGGCCAGGCCGGTCGGTGCTTCACATTGCTGAATAAATATGAGGTAAGCTTAAACACAGAAACGCTCTTTTCTCTATATATTCTTGTCCAATTATCTGTAAAACAGAAGCTAGAGGTGCCTCAGATGATGAATACTAGGTAAAGAAGATGTTATAGTTTTCAGAGTCTTGTGTTTATCTCACTGAACCTTAATCTCTAAGATAATTTGTATAGGACAAATTCTTGGAGCTCTATTATCTGGTTATCTGCTCTCTTTTTTTCATGCTTAAGCTCCATTAATTCAGCTGGATATACAAAAATTTCAGGAAAGGCGTTTTTCAAGGCTCCTGAAGAAAGTTGGTTGTGATTCATGCACTACTCATTCAATCCCATCCGAAACATTGGATTTTTACCGTGACAAGTATGCAACTGGTAATCTCCTAGCCTTAAACACTCAACAAAAAGACATGAAAAAATAGTGGTGTTATGGTTAATTCAATTGAGATTCTAAACCTTCTAAAGACCTTGGTTTTGTTACGTGCGAGTTTTGGATTTAGCGTAGAATTTGACAGTATTACTGATGAAGAGTTTTACGGAAGTCTGTCAAAACGCATATGAAGATGTTAAAAGCAAAAACATTCAAAAGGGCATTGGTTATTTGAGTCTTGGATTCTGGTTTTTATGAAATTTGTCATTTGGCATTTCAGCTCTGGAGTTGCTGAAGGAGTTGGTTGAGTCGGAAGCACCGAAAAAAGGAAGACAAGCTTTTCAGCATAATTCAAGAACCAAACGCAACAAAACGACGACATCAGAACAAGCATAGTTCTTCTTGGTATCCCTTCGGGTCAAATACTGAAACGGGTCGGATTCAGTCGTTTTTGGACACAAGCTTCAGTCAAAATGCGGGTTAATTGATCAGGAATCCATTGTATAATTAATAGAAATTGAATTAGTAAAATGCCTAATCTTGAGGTGGGAAAAAAGTGGAGATAACTAACGTTTTGCTCTTGTTTTTTTTTTTGGAAGTAGAAGAAGAGAGTTCAGGACTTATTTAGATTCCTACATACTTTTTCATGAAATGTTTCTCTTCGTTAATGAAAGACAATCTTTGGTCATACATACCGGAGTAAAGTATGGCTTCTCTCCAAGTTCTGAGGAGAATATAAGCATAATTATCGGTTCCATGCAGAAGGAAGATTCTTATATATAATTAGTCCGATTATACATTAACAATGTAATTCAATCACAGGCAGTGATTTACGTAGGAAGAAGTTTCTGAATGCATTTTCAATACTAAAAGATACCAAAAGACATTTATTTACAAAAGCATAAAACAGAAAATTACATTTGGAGAACACACACATACATAAGCTTCTACAAACACTCAAGGAGAGGATTGTGTTCATCTGAAGACCTGTCTCAAGAGAACTTTTACATGAACCACTTGCGTTTGTGTGAGGTGAAGATATGTCCAATCACCAATCCGCAGAACACGCCAGGTCCATAGGCTATGGCAGCTGCTATCAAACTAATTACTTGTTCTTCTTCCTCCGACAAATCCTCGTATTCTTGTGGTGTAGGAGTCGGGACATGAGTTTCATCATCACATACATCTTCGAGACCGTAGAGTTTGGGGTTGTTCTTGAAAACTGAACAATCTTGCCTGTGAAACTGTGTGCCTCGTGGTATAGGACCTTCGAGATTGTTACAGGAGAAGTTCATGACTGACAGAAAGGAGAGGCTGCCAAGATCTGTAGGAATCTGACCAGACAGCTGATTCCGAGATAAGTCTAGTGCCTCGAGGTTTGTCAGATTTGCCAAGGATAGAGGTATATTGCTTGTGAAAGCATTACCTGACAAGTTGAGAAGAAGCAATCCCTTCAACAGTCCGATGGATTTGGGGATCTCTCCACCAAAATTATTTCCTGAAAAATCAATGGCCCTCAAGTCTCTTCTGATCCGGTCAAATTTCATATCGACTCCTTTATCCACCATTTCCATCCTAGTCATTACACCCGAACCACGATAGGAGTAATCAGAGTCCAAATATCCCGTGTACATGAAGTCACTGCCAACTTTATCGGTTGATATCATTTCACGCCAGTTGGAGAAATAGAAAGGAGGCAAAGTTCCAGTGAAGTGGTTATGTGATATATCGATGACTTTTAAACTTTGAAACCCAACGGATGACATATTAGGATGATACAAGGGCCCGTGGAATTGGTTTGATCGTAGGATCATGACATTTAACGACGGCAGAGAACCCAACCAAGATGGAAACTTGTCCTTGATTCTGTTGCCTTTTACGTTCAAAAACTCCAAAGAAATGCAGTTGATCAATGATTCTGGAAGTTTTCCCTCCAACTGGTTGCCGCTGAGGTCAATTGACACTAACTCGGTAGCATTGAGAAATAAATCTGGAAGAAGAGTTCCACTGAGATTGTTGTTTTGCAGATTTAGTGCGCTTAGACGAGCAATAGTATCGCTCAAACATTGAGGGATGGAGCCACTAAAGCTATTGTTGGAAAAATCTAAGAGCTCTAAAAGGCTAAGCTTGCAGATCCAATGGGGTAATGGTCCTCGGAAAGAATTTGAACTTATATCCAAGTCCCGGATATGTGTTAAATTCGAAACTTCAAACGATTTTTCAAAACTGCTGAAAGAGTTGTGAGAAAGTCTCAACAACGGCACGCCAACTGGTAATTCACCTTCCAACTTATTGTTGGAAAGATCAAGATACACGAGTTCGACTAAATTTGATATGGATCTAGGGACTGGTCCAGTGAAATCGTTGTGGCTGAGATTTAAAATAGCAAGGTTGGGAAATTCGGATATGGATTTGGGGATAGGGCCATCGAATTTGTTTTGACTAAGATCTAGAAGTTGAAGCTTATAGAAGGAAGATGATGTATATTCCTGAATTCTATAGGTCCGTTGAACTGGTTTCCTTCCAACGTAACAAATGTTAACAAAGGATTCATGAACAAGGATGTAGGAAAATGCCCTGAAAATGAGTTTCCACTCACACTAAAATACAGCAAGTTGTGGAATCGACTCATGTCTAAGAGGGACCAAATTTCACCCGTGAATTGATTGCCTGAAATGTCTAAATAGGACAGTTTTGTTAAGTTGGCAAACGAAACAGGAATGTTTCCACTGAAGTTGTTATAGCCAAGGATTAGGTCTCTTAGTTGGGTTAGGATTCCGACTGAAGCTGGAACTTCGCCTACTAAATTGTTAGCGGAAAGGTCAAGATCTGTGAGATGAGAAAGGTTTCCTAAGGAAGAAGGAATCTCCCCGTAAAGATTGCAGAATGCAAGAGTTAGGGTACGAAGATGGTGGAGTTTGAAAAGACCGCTCTTTGGTTTTAAAGAGTTGTTGAGTGGGATGTAAGTAAGATTAAGTGAAATCACCTCCTCAGATCTATCATCGCACGTGACACCCTCCCAGAAACAGCAATCACTAGTCTTGTTCCATGAACTTAAAGAATATGGACTTGAGAGGGATTCATTTACCGGAAACTCGTGTTTGAACTCTAGAAGAGCATCCCTCTCGTCATGGCGGCAACGGTTGAGCGTAGGAGAAGACAACAAGAAAAAGCAATACAACAAGGTCGCAATACCAGAAAAGCAATGAGATTTGCTTGAAATCATCATTAGCCTTTCTTCTCTCTTTTGTTTCTTTAATTTGTTTTTGTGTGGAATTGATATGATTATGGCTTATGCAGCTCTTTTTAAATAGGAAAACAAAAACTCGTTTTTCTTGACTCACAGACACAAGAAACATATAAGAAAAATGGTACTTGCAAAAACTCGTTTTTTTCTGTTTTTCTTGACTTTGGCATGTCTTGATTTTTTGTCGTCTTCCAATCCGTGATTTGTGCCTCATAGTTTTCCACATAGACCTAATCCGTGTTTGATTGACCCAAGTCGTCGGATTCGGCTGGTTGATTGACTCTTACCACTTCTTTTAAAACATTTCCACGTACAGCGTACATCACATTTTTGTTTTTGAAATTACTGTCGCTATTAAATTTTGATGATGCAAATGGAGTGTCCTGAAAATCTTACAATGTTTCTCAAGTTCTTTTCAAGCCTAATCACTGGATTTGGTGATTTATATAAGTAAGTATCCTATAATATGTTTTAAGGAATTCTTATAGAACTTTGTGCAGATAAATTACTTTTGTTATTATATTCGTGAAACTTTAAATCAATACATGTGAGTAAATGAATTAGCAAATCTTGCCCGGGACGCAAGGGAGAGGACCGGCGGAGGAAGTAAGAGAAGGTACGGCAGAGCCGTGGGCCACCGGAAACGTCTCTCCAAATACATACGACGGCGTGACGGAACTTCCGCCGGACGGTATAAAGAAAGCTCCGTTCATGAAAACGTCCTTAGACGTACCCCATTTCCAATTTCTTGAATTTCCAGTACCCATTCTCTTCGTCACCTATATAACGTGTTTTAAGTATAATGACATGATAATGTGTGATTTAGTCATAAAACCCAAGTGGTCTCATTTCATGTTATTATAATGTGACATGGTAAATTGTGATTTAGTCATAAAACTTATATGATCCATTCAAAATGAAGATACCTGTTTTTTAGGGCCAGCAACGAAGTGGTTGCCTTCACTGAAGATAATTGGATCAGCACTTCCTCCGATCGCATACATTTGCCATTTATCGTACATATTGTTTGCTACATGCGCATACCCTCTCCTCACCCTGCCACATCATCAATCACATATCCACGTACGTCAGCATGTTCTAATCTAGTTTTGTTACTAATTGTCAATATATATACACATTTACAAACCTAGGCATTCTCTCAATGAGACCCGGTCCAAAATAGTTAAACGCAACTGTAACTCTCATTTTCTTATCCCCCATATAACTGTCGTCGTGTCCGAGCAACATCACCTTCGTAGTAATAACATAACTAAATATCATCAATATTCAAAATATTAGATACGTTGTAAAAGTAATTAAATACTTACTTTATCGTGCTCCCTGAAATAATTATTTGAAATAGTGACCGACGTAGAAGAAAGAATCACATCGATCAAACCATCTTGACACCGAGATAAGTGACAATGATCGATCCAAACATGTGAAGACTGAGACACGCGGATCGCGTCACCATCCCATCCTTTAGCCAATTTACAACCACGAAAAGCTATCCCATGTATAATGACGTGGCTCACACGTTGGATCGCTATGCACGGCCCGTTTCCGATTTCCACTTTTGCTCCTCTCCCGTCTATCGTCTTGTAGCTGTTCACCATGAGCTCGCTTTGCAGCACTATGACCATGTCACTCGCGAATGTGATCCATAGCGGTTTAGCTTGGGTCGCACCGTATCTTAAGGTTCCCGGTTTAGGGGCTCCAGGGCTGTCTGATGGGCTTGTAACCACGTAGAGCGGGCCCTGTCTGCCCCCTATCGCGGATTTCCCGAACCCTACAGCGCAATTGGATAGGGCATGACGGTTTGACGCCCAATTACGGTTTCTTCGCCAGCAAGCATCAATTGGATTATGAGCAGCCTGTACAAGAGGAGAAGAGAAAGTTGAAAAGAGAAGTAAAACTGTTAACACGAGAGAAACCATTTTCTTCAAGATGTGATGCTTGAATTGAAGTAATATGTGTGCAAATATCTATTCAAGAGTCACAACATAGACGTGAGCTAGAGAATATACGTACGTATCTATAGACATATGTATTATATATTTGCATTTAGTTAGGTATGTGTGTGAAAGATGAGGAGGCTTGCGATACACTGATAGCGATTGAGTGTTTTAAAATACGCTAGACTCTAGACTGCAGGGAAAACATTGAGGAACATAATTAAAAAAAAACCGCATAACAGAAATTTCGGATTCGATTTTTATCTCCTAAGTGTATTATACGCCCACTCTGTATAATAATATAGTGGGCCGTTATGTATTTATGGCCCATATTAAGTGCAAACATATGTTCAGTCTCTCTATTTTGACCGTATCGAAGAAATCGGTACGGTGAGCTTATAGAGTAATAGTTATTGGATGATGTAATTTTTTATCATTTTAAATTTAAATTGCTAATAGTCTTATAGATATACTTCTTTGAACGTGGTTGCACAAGCTTGAGATGACGATGTGTTAGTTTGCATTTGGATTCTTTCCTTCTTTTTTTTTTTTGCATTTGTTTAGTAAACCTAACAGGTTTTGGATCTATCTCATTAGTTTATATATATGAAAACTTATAAAGATAAGAGAAAAATTAGTCACTTGTCTATTTTTAAAGAAAGCATAGTAACTAATCAGTAGTTTACTGAATGAGTTTGGTACAGAAAGACACTCTATTTTGACTAATCTCTGCTGAAAAAAAAGCAATTAGACGCAACCAGTTGCATATTAGTTGAAAAAGTATAAGAAAAATCACAAAAAGACAAATTGCTTGGAATCTCTTAACTGATTATCTGCTCATTTTGTCATGCTTAAGCTCTTGACTCTAACTCTATTTGTTCATTTGGATAAACATAAATTTTGTAGTGACCAAAGTGTGATTGTTGTTTACTTGATAGTTTTTATCAGATCATGGTTTTCAAATATTTTAGATTCTTGGAAGAAAATAAATATGTTTTAGATTCCATAACTCCCACATGTTTCTCTGACATAGTATTTTGTCTTGTAAATTCATTAATGATACCGAGAAGACGACTTCCACGAGAAAGCAGGTAATTTAAGAAATCACTCAACATTTTGTTTTCTTCGCTATACTTGCTTTTGGATCTAAAACTATTATACAATATTTCATGCAAAAGAAGGTTAAGTAGAAAGGTGTCCTCATGCAAATATTCAACATGGATATGCTTCACATCATTCTCGATATTCTTCTACCTCCTCTTACACTCATCTTCCTCTTTCTCTTTTACTCATTCTATCTTTTCATCAAACTTCTGAACTGTGACCGTAAACATCTTTGCGTTGAAAATGTCGTTGGAAAAGTAGTTCTCATTACCGGAGCTTCCTCCGGCATCGGAGAGGTTAGCTTATGATTTATTACTCGTTCATATCAGTATGACCTATCTCTCTTAAGATCAAAACATCATCCAAATAAAGTTTAATTTTCTAATTTTCTTGTTCGATATATTCCCAAAAAGGAATTTTTTTTTTTGAGGGGGTCAAAGCAAAATGATAGTTACATTAAAAAAATTCTTGTACATATATATATATTATCGAGTATTAATTAATTGAAATGTTTTTTGCTTCGCTGAAAGAAAAGCATGTTGCATATGAGTACGCGAAGAAAGGAGCAAATCTAGCTCTGGTTGCTCGAAGAGAGGATCGTCTACAGATAGTAGCAGAGACATCACAACAGTTAGGTTCAGGTGATGTTATCATCATACCTGGTGATGTTACTAAGATTAATGATTGCATGAAGTTCATCGATGAGACGATAAGTCATTTTGGAAAACATAAGTACTCATATACACACAAAATATATTATTATGCTATATCAAAATATATGAACGTTTACGTTCTTCATTGAAAAACTTTATTAATACTGTTATAGATTTCTAAACGGGTTTATTTTTTGACAGTGGACCATTTAATTAATAATGCTGGTGTATCACAGACTGTTTTGTTTGAGGATTTCTCCCAGATACAAGTCGCGAATCCTATAATGGTGAGTTATTAACAACATGCTTAAACTCATGTATATTAATATTAAGAAAAACCTCGATGCTAAAATTACATGTGTATATCTATCATATATCCACGAATTGTTTTTCTTCTTAAAATGAATAAAGTTTATGGAATATTTTGTTGTTTACATACGTACAAAAATGAAAACTTAATCAATTTCTATTTATCCATATATTGACATTATTTCACTTAGATTATGTGTATGTTAAAGGATACTAACTTCTGGGGCTCAACATACATAACTTATTATGCAATTCCCCATCTACGACAAAGTAAAGGAAAAATAGTTGTGATTACGTCTGCTGCAGCAAAGATAGCTATCCCAGTGGCAACCATCTACTCTGTAAGATTTACTCTTGCTAAAAGATACTTATGAAATATGTATATACTTATTATAAAATTAATGTTAATCTCAAAAGTAAAACTTATAAAAACAAAAAAAAAGTTTTGGATTTTCTTACAAATTAAACGTTTAAAGTGCTAAAGGAATAAACATAAAATAGAGGGTCCATATATGTTCTAAATTTACAAAAGATTCGTCACCATTAAAATAATTGTTACAGTATATAATTTGATAATGCTGATTGATTAATTAACTGTTGTAGGCAAGCAAAGCAGCATTGTTAGGATTTTATGAGGCACTAAGAATTGAACTCAATCCGGATATACAAGTAACAATTGTTATCCCTGGACTAATCTCAACGGATATGACAACTCCTGAGTTTATAAGAGTAAGTGCTTTTCAAACACTATTCATCCAACTAGAATTTTCATCAAAAATAATAGTTCCAACTTTTATATAAAAAATTAGCTAATTATGTGTGTTTTGTGTTCTTTGTTTTTTTTTTCTTTATAATAGCATGGTTCAGATTGTATAGTATCAGAACCAGTTAATAGATGTGCGAAAGCAATTTTCAAAGGTGTTTGTAGAGGAGAATCATACATCGAAGTACCAAGTTGGATCAAATGGTTCTTTTTAGTCAAGACAATGTGGCCTGAAGTAATCGTCTCCATCTTCAACTACTCTTTCCTTCATTTTATGAAGCCTTATTTCAAGCGTGACTGAAAAAACAAGAAGTGATCCATTTAACTCTAAATCGCTATTCTTCAATAACATGATACAGTTGTATTCTCTCAAGTGCCAAAACAGATTACTTCTCTCCTTTCTTTAACCCTAGAAAAATCAATATCAGTTTTGTGTTTGTTTTTTTTTAATTGGGATGGATAATTTTTAAAATCACCCTTGTTCAAAAAAAAGAAGAAAAAAAACTTGTAAAATTTATATTCTTTAGTGGTTTACATCATTTGAAGTTTAGTAGTGTTTGTTAATAAATGCTTATGTGGATAAATCACTTAACCGAAATTACTACTAGCTCCGCAAGAAAACACAACCGAAATTACTACTAGCTTTGTGTGTAAATAATCAAAGTGTAATAAAGTCAACTAATAAAGTCAATCATTTGAAAATCGATACAACAATAACACAAGTATCTCTCGAGTAAAGAGCCCAAATGCTACTTTCTTTAAAAAGTTGATCTGCTGCACCAGTCCATGATCTAATGCTATTACTTCATTTAAAATGACAATTTGATCCTTAATGAAAGTAACTTAAAATAACTAGAAGTGAATTAATAAATCAGTAAAAATAAAATAACTGAAAGTAAATAAAATTAATATCTAAAAAAAAAAAAAAAAAAACCCCCCCCCCCCCCCCCCCCCCCACGATTAAGAGTATACAAATAGATGCATATATGCTCTCGTAGAAGGAAAGGCACCCCACGATTAATAGCATCTGTTTTGCAGCGCAGTTTAATTTGTGTGTGTATGTTTTGTAATTCTCGGTTTTGTACAACCATGTTAGACTATGTATATCTATGAATCTATATGTGTTTCAATGGCGAAATTGTATGACCAGGTTTAACTAGGTACAAGTATGAACAATTCTCAGTTTCATTTTGTCGAATTCGCACTTCTAAGTTCAACTGGGTACAACTATTAACGTTTGTCATTCTCTGATTTGCACTACTAAGTACAACTGAGTACACGTATGAACAGTTACATGTTTGTCTTCCTTGAATTCGCACTTCCAGGTTCAACGGGGTACAACTATTAACGATTATGTGTTTGTCATTCTTTGATTCGCACATCTAGGTTCAACTGGGTACAACTATTAACGTTTATGTGTTTGTCTTTCTCGAAATCGCACCACCCGGTTCAACTGGTACAACTGTGCTACTTTGTGTGATTACTGATCGATTATTTTCATTATATTTTCAGGAGAGCATGAGCATCAACCACACAAACATACATTTGACTATGGAGGGAGTTATTCATATGATGAAGGGGAGTTGAAATGGTTTACAAGTAATTCCACCTATGCTATTCCATTTAGGAACTTATTATTGGAGGAGATAACTTACTCGGTGTTAGTAGATAAGATATGCAGGAAGATATGGTTGACAAAGCTGCACATAAAAACTGTTTTGGGGTCCATACTTATAAGTCAGATATATAATGACTTATTCTAGAATGCCGTCAAAAGAGTCAAGGCTGTAAATGGTATTTGCGAGCTGCAAGGTTTAAGAAATCGGATGATTTCAGTGTTAAGAGTATACAAATAGATGCATATATGCTCTCGTAGAAGGAAAGGCACCCCACGATTAATAGCATCTGTTTTGCAGCGCAGTTTAATTTGTGTGTGTATGTTTTGTAATTCTTGGTTTTGTACAACCATGTTAGACTATGTACATCTATGAATCTATATGTGTTTCAGTGGCGAAGTTGTATGACCAGGTTTAACTAGGTACAAGTATGAACAATTCTCAGTTTCATTTTGTCGAATTCGCACTTCTAAGTTCAACTGGGTACAACTATTAACGTTTGTCAGTCTCTGATTTGCACTACTAAGTACAACTGGGTACACGTATGAACCGTTACATGTTTGTCTTCCTTGAATTCGCACTTCCAGGTTCAACGGGGTACAACTATTAACGATTATGTGTTTGTCATTCTTTGATTCGCACATCTAGGTTCAACTGGGTACAACTATTAACGTTTATGTGTTTGTCTTTCTCGAAATCGCACCACCCGGTGCAACTGGATACAATTATTAATAATTTTACGTATTTCTTGAAATTGCACCAGCAGGTGCAACTGGGTGTAACTAGGTACAACTAATATCAATTTTAAAAGTGAATTAAACAATTATTAAAACTACAAGTGATGTAAATCAACTAATTAAGACCTATAAACACATTTTCAACTATAAGGAAACAATTACTAATATAGAGAACTTTAATTTTTTATTTTAATACAAAATCATGTTTTCACATCAACCACCCCTTACAATATAAGGAAGATATCAATATTGTTAAGCCTTTTAGGAAAAAAAAAATCAGAATGTTAAATTCTTCATACATTGTACTATAAAAACGTTGTAAATGATGTTTAATGATCCAAAATCATTTGTACAACTATGCCATAATAGTTTAGGAGAAGGTTCAACTATAAATACAATAAAATTGCAAAAGTACAACTATTAGGAATTTGGTTCAACTGCTTGCTTGGGGACAACTAAGTTCAATTTATTTTGGAAAATTTAATAAATTTTCAGTTTTCCGCCCAGCGGGAAAATTTATAATATTTTAATTTTATTTTCAAAAAGTCCACTTTCCCAAATGTTTCAAAACCCTAATTTTATTTTTTTGTTTCTTCGACTTCGAGAGAGAGAGAGAGAGAGAGAGAGAGAGAGAGAGAGAGAGAGAGAGAGAGAGAGAGAGAGAGAGAGAGAGAGAGAGAGAGAGAGAAGAGACGATTCTGGGCGAGAGAGAAGAGACGATTCTGAGCGAGAGAGAAGAGACGATTCTGAGCGAGAGAGAAGAGACGATTCTGAGAGAGGAGACGAGAGAAACGATTTTGAGAGAGGAGACGAGAGAGATAATTCCCAGAGAGGAGACGAGAGAGACGATTCGGAGAGAGACGATGCTTCAATTTTTTATTAATAAAAAATAAACAATTATGAAAAGCCATAATTTTTCATTCGTTGTACTTAATAAAATCCAGTTGAACCGTAAAACTCACTCAGTCGAACGATGTCTTTAAGTTGTATCTCCTTATTTATGTCATTCGTTGTACTTAATAAAATCCAGTTGAACTTAACAAAAACCCAGTTGAACTATAAAACTCACTCAGTCGAACCATGTATTTCAGTTGTACCTCATTACTTGTGTCATCCGTTGTACTTAATAAAATCCAGTTGAACTTAATAAAACCCAGTTAAACCATAAAAATCACTAAATCGAATCATGTATTTCGGTTGTACCTTGTTACTTGTGTCATCCGTTGTACTTAATAAAATCCAGTCGAAATTAATAAAACTCAGTTGAACCGACAATAGAACTGGTTGTACCTAATAAACACATAATTGTACCAAAATGATCTTAGTTGTTCCTCTAATTTTATTTAATAAATACATAGTTGTACCTAAATATTACAGTTGTCCTAATATACATAAGTTGTACAAATACATAATTCAAAAACTAAAAAAAACCGCATCCTTCCACAAATATTTCCCGGATTCGTTTGGTAACCTGCCGAAGAAAGTTTCCCACATATCTTAGCCTTGTCTGACCTCTAAAACAAACAGAATGTATATAGGTAAACAATGTCGATATCTGAAAATAGAAATATATATCGTTAATAAACCTGAACCTAGGCACATGTTTCCTTTTCAAAAGAAATGATAATTTTTTAGATAAACAGAGTGAGTGAAGGATTATGAGCTTCCTAGTTTAGCAAACAAAAATCTCAGCAAAAGTACACATTACATGTTACCATTAGTTGCCTCTACACAGAAACTTGTTGAATGTGATTCTAGCAATTACATTGCAATTATTTAGCAAACAAAAATCTCAGTCAATGTGATCCTACATTACAAATATGAAATATCCAAATCAAAACTTTGCATACTAGTTGCAAGATGAATAATACAGGCATGTAATCATATACATGCCAAGAGACACTAAAATTTCACATAAACTCAACTATTTACATGATTACATCTCAATTTTCTCTAGTAGACCACCAATTAAAGCTTAGAAACAAGCCTAAATGGTAGATGAGGATGGATGAGAAAGCCGTAAATTCTGTCAATCAAAGATTATTTCACTAGACATTGGTTCTTAATGAATAAGCCAGCAATTTCAGAAAGAGTGACACAAGTGTAAAACATTGTCTAAAGCCTCTTTTCTACCATTCTTTGATTCTATTAGTTAGAACAAATCCAAAGCCAAAGAAGTGATGCTTATGGAACTATAATCTATTGAAAATTAAAAAACAATAGGATGAAGTGGGATTGAGAAAAAAAACTCACTATAATTTCGATAGGAACACGAGTAGCAATTCAATGATGATAATAAGATCAGTGCATTCAACATCTAGCCGTCTTTAACTAGCCTTGCAAGTAGCTCTCACATCCAAAAGATCTCCCTTTATCTCTTTCTCTTGTGATAAAAAAATCTGCAGAAAAGCTCAGTCATCGAATGACCCTAATTTTCTTTCATTATTAAGAGAGAAAAAGCAAAGAGACAAGAGAGTACCAGTTGAATCATTACTGTGTGACCTGATTGGAAACCAACTATCTTTGATGTTCGAATTTCCGTGATCTCAGGCCAACAATTTATAAAGTAGTGATCTCAGACCAACAATCTATAAATCCCAAACTTCAGTGAACAGAGACACCATCAGCAGCTGTAACACCCAATCTCGATTTGGAATCACCATCCTTGTAGAAACAAATTCAAATCTTAGATCATATAGACAAAACACAGTTTTTACCTTTTCATCAGATGTCATGGAAACCAAATTGAACATCCTTTTTTATTAGAACAACTTGAATTCGAACCCAGATCAACAACACCTTTTTGGGATTAATGAAAAATACTCTCTTTTACTCAGATAAAGAAGGAAGATGTTCGCTCCATGAAGAAGAATGAGAAAAATGAGAAATTTATGATCCACTTTATTTAATCGGGTTAGTGGGTTTGGGTGGATAATTTTAGGTTGGGTATGTAATTTCTCTAATTTGTTAAGGGTTTTAAAGGTATTTCATGCATTTGATTTAAAAAGAAAATGAAAAAAAAATAAAAACATAACACTGGCATATGAGATTGAATTTTGAGAAATAATGGCATTTCAGCCATTGATCTGTGTCTCTCTCCTTGGGATAATACATCAGCTTTATTAGGCTTTTTAAACATGACACTTCAGCAAAAAAATTCACCAATCAAAATATTTTATTAATACATTTCATCTATTTATTTTAACTTTTAAATTTAAACCCATTAAAAACCCAAAAAAAATATTGTTAATTTTAGTTTTATTTTTTTGACCAAATCCAAGCCCAAGTAATAAATATAACAAATAAAAAAAATCTTTGTTTTATTTTTTTCTAAACCTAAACCCAAATAATAAATAATAACAAAAAATATTGTTTTATTTTTTGCCAAAATCAAACAATAAATAATAGCAAATTAAAAAATTAAAATGTCTAGCTACATGTTTGCTTGACAGAGACGCGCGTGTATAATTGAAGAAAATGTAAACCCAGCATAAACTATGCTTCCATGACAACAGATAAAAAAACTGTATGTTATAAGAAGCTCATAAACCGTATGTTTTAAGTTGACAGATAATGCGATTTCTTGGTTTTTGTGAGAAAATACGATTTTTTAGTTTTCGCGGAAAAATACAAATTGACGATTTTGGCGGAAATACAATTTCTCGGTTTGAAGGTAAGATGAAATTTCTCGGCTTTTGTGGGAATATTGCTTCCTCAGATGCTTAGTTTTCGTGGGAAAAATGTGATTTCTTAGTTTTCGCGGGAAAATACAATTTCTCGCGAGATAATGCAATTTTCAGTTTTCGCAGGAAAATGTAATTTCTCGGTTTTGGTGGGAAAACGTGAATTTTGGTTTGACGAGAACATGAAATTTCTTGGTTTTGGCGGAAATAGACGATTTCTCGGTTTTTGTGGAAAATGATTTTTTCGGTTTTGACGGGAAATATTTTTTGGTTTTTGTAGGAAGATGAAATATTTTGGTTTTGGTGAGAGAACGTAATTTCTCGACTGGTTCTCGTGGAAAAATGTGAATTTTTAGTTTTTGCTGGAAAATGCAATTTATTGGTTTTGATGAGAAGATGAAATTTTTGGTTTTAGGAAAAAATAAAATTTCTTGGTTTTGACGGGAATAGGCAATTTCTCAGATTTTTTAGAAAAATAATTTTTTTTTGTTTTAACGGAAAATACGATATTTCAGTTCTTGTGGTAAAATTTTAAATTACCATACGTTTACAGTAACCAAAATTAAATTATTTAACTTTTGCTAAATTGATATTTCAATAGTTCAAACATATTTTTCTATTTAGTTATAAAGCAATAATAATAATTTTGATATGAATGTTATTACTTAGAGTTTGGTAGTTTTAAAAACTTATATTTATGATAAATTTTGATAAATAAATAAATTTTTATAATTTAAAATAATCATATAAATTAATAATTTTTTTAAAGTGGTTATTTGCTTTATATAATTATAAGGAATGATCAAGTGGCAATTTAGTGAAGAAAATAGATTATATTTACCATTAGAATTAATGTACTTAAAATATATATAATTTATTTTTAGATATATGTTTTTAGTTAGTTAATTAAACAAATTTATTAATAAATTACAATTTTGAAAAAAACTAATAATTAACAATATATAATATTTATTTATATTTAAAATATATAAATACATAATTTAAAATAATAATATAATTATAAAAATAATTTATTATATTAAAAATATATACAAAATTTAGAAAAATAATTATCTAGTATAAATCAAAAATCTAAAAAGAAATAAATCAAAACGTTGCGTTTTACAAAATGTAAAAAATCATCGTAACAGGCCACAGCTAAAAAATCCTTCCGGCGAATTCCACAATGTTTTCCGCCGTCGTCAGACCTTTCCTCTCTCCCTCACCGCGGCTCTTTCGCCGTCCTCTTTCTTCATTCTCAATTTCCTTCCATTCCTCTCACTTTCTGTCTCCTCATTCTTCTAAACCGATTAGGCCTGTCCTTTCCTCCGGCCATGCCTTTCTCGCTGACCAGTACCTTTCATGTTCCATGCCTGAGAAGCCTCTTCGTGTCGCCGTTCTCCTCAGTGGCGGCGTCGATAGCAGCGTCGCTCTCCGTCTCCTCCACGCCGCTGGCCATTCCTGTACCGCTTTCTATCTCAAAATCTGGTTCCAGGTTTGCTTCTTCACTATGACTGTTCACATTTTTTGATATTTTGATTCATTTTGGATTTGTTTGTGTGATTTTTCACCTTAACTCCCTTAGATATTCTATCTTCTGTAGGAAGGCTTTGAGAATTTCTGGAATCAGTGCCCATGGGAAGACGATTTGAAGTATGCAAAGCATGTTTGTGAGCAAGTACTGTTTTCATAAACCCTAAACCCTTTTATATTTATCTTTGATTCATTCTGTCATAATCTTCAAGAAATTTTCAATTTTGGCTTTGTTTCAAAATGTTCATATACTTCTTATACTTGAACAATGAAAGAGGATGTTTTACTGCTTCTTCCAGGTTGATGTACCTTTGGAGATTGTGCACTTAACAGATGAATATTGGGAAAGAGTTCTAAGTTCTTTCTTCAATGGCTTCTTTGTTTGTTTTAGAATGCCTAATTGTTTGAACGATATCATCAGGTTTCTTACATTATTGAGGAGTACCGTTGTGGACGTACACCAAATCCGGATGTTCTATGTAACACTAGAATCAAGTTTGGTAAGCTCTTCTGCTAGATAGTTTTGTTAATCAAAGAGTGTTAGGCTCATGAAAGCAAACATCTGAAGTCTATATATGGATTATAATTTTTCAGGGGCATTCATGGATGCAATCAGTGGTATGGAGTATGACTACATAGCTTCAGGTCATTATGCTAAAGTGGTCCATCCTCCTGCTGACCAAAATGATTCATCGTCTCTTTTGGAACTATCACAGGACATGGTACTTACTTGCATTGTTCCTAGTGTCGTAATCTACTTACTAATGCTTCTTAGGGTGTATTCCTTTTGTTTTCAGTACCTTGAACCATTTTAAAGTCTGTGTTTTTCGATTTTTGTAGGTGAAGGATCAGACCTACTTCCTCTCACATCTCTCTCAAACCCAGCTTAAGCGGCTGCTTTTCCCACTTGGTTGCATCAAGAAGGTAGGAGGATTTAATAATCTTTTGACTTCTTTGCAAAACGTGTAAGAAAAGGTTTTAACTTGTTTTCTTGATGATGTGCAGGATGAAGTTCGCAAACTAGCCACAGAATTTGATTTGCCAAACAAAGATAGAAAGGATTCACAAGGAATATGTTTCCTTGGGAAGGTATTCTTTCTATAGTTTGTTTGTCTGGTTAATGCAAGTCTGAAACCTTATGAATATGGTCTTTATGTAATAGATAAAGTTCAGCGATTTTGTTGGAAAACACATAGGAGAGAAGGAAGGAATCATATTAGAAGCTGAAACTGGGGATTTTCTTGGTAACCATCGTGGATTTTGGTTTTACACAATCGGACAACGCCAAGGCTTGCGTTTACCCGGTGGACCCTGGTGTGTTTCTTAACTGAGGGAAATGAAAATCGTAGCTGTTTCTATCATTGGTTTTGTGATATGAAAATTAGAAGCAGCTTCTGGGTTTTTGAATATATGTAGGTATGTTGTTGAAAAGGACACTAGAAACAATGTAGTGTTTGTCTCAAGAAATTACTACTCAATCGACAAGAGAAGACGGATTTTCCGAGTTGGCTCTATAAGATGGCTTAGTGGGAAACCTTCAGGCAATCTAAGCAAGCTCCGTTGCAAGGTAAAAGAAAGAATATGATCAAATTACTTTCTACACACACTTATGGTTATATACTTTCTACTTATAGGTACGGCATGGGCCTGGCTTCTACAGCTGCGGTTTTGAAATGGAAGCAGGAGGAGATGTTGCGGTTGTACATCTAGAAGAAGACGATCAAGGTCTCGCTGCTGGACAGTTTGCAGCGTTCTACGAAGGAACCGTTTGCATCGGTTCAGGCGTAATCCTCGAGTCGTGGGACGATCAGTGTTTCCCGGTCTGTGCAAAAGCTCTTGAACTCGCAGCTATGGAGGATAAAACCAAACTCGGGAAACCTGTCAAGATCAAGACGATGCCTGTTACGACATCTGTTCCAGGAGAAACAAGTACAGGAGAGAAGCTGGTTAACGCCTGAGACAAGGAAATGGTGTTGTTGTAGTGTTGTAGACTTGTAGTCTCAGGTACATCTGAAGATTTTAAGCTGACAAGTGACGAGATCATACGATACGAATTACGATATAGCTTTTCCTCTCCTCCGTATAGCCACAAGCCCAACGAATTTTTATATACGTATATACGATCGCTGCTTCTTTTTTTTTTCGACGCAAACACGATACTCTTATTCCTAATAGAGAGACATCAGCTCTCGTTAGTCGTTACAATACATATATAAATAATTAGGAGACACCTTGTCCATGATTAATAAAAATTATGTATTAATAATAAAATTATATATAAATATTTAATAATAAAAAATTAACGATAAATCAAATAAAAAATATTATAGATTTAATAAAAATCAAAGATAAAAAATATTAACTAAAATTTTAAAATATTTTCTTATATATAAAAATATAAATAATAACAAAAAACTAAAAAATATTAAAATATATAATAATTTATTTAATTTTTATTATTGAAAACTTATTTGGCCGCATAGTAAGCTTTCTGCAAAATAACTCTAGATTCTCATCCATGGCGTCCATTAAGTTTCTGATTTCAAACCAAGCTTCATCGGAGTGAGACGACATATTTTAACTATATTTCATCAAAAAACTTGAATGATAAAATAATGACAAAACATCAATACAAAAGCAGTGAATGAGAATGTATCACAAAAAGATGATTATAAATTGTAATGAATTCGAAACTGTTAAACTTCCCCCACGTTAATGGTGAAACTCTCCACATTGTCACTGCTATACAGCCGGATTCTCAAAGTTGAGAAAGAAAAGATCAGAGAACAAACAGTAGGAGTCTTGAGATTTAATGGATAAAACAGATTATAACCCAGATAACAATCCAAACTAACATTCAAATGGAATCAAATCAAACTTAACTATCAACATTAGGTCAAAATCAGAGACATAAATCGACAAAAGTTAAACACCAAAATTCATATTCAACCAAAAAAATCAAGTTGCATACATATGATGATGACTGTTTTCCAATTTATTTTTTCTTCTTCTTCTTCGGAACAAGTGTTGCTCTCAGATGGAAGAATTTTGCCGAGACCCGAGAATTACAAGAGGCTGAAAAGTCAAAAAGATTAAAATAAGCGATATCCAAAAATGGGCCAAGCCATTATGGTTCAATCTATGTACATTAAAATTATTATTATAGGCTAACAACAAACTCTCATTTTATTTCATCATATTCTATGATATAAATTGATGAATAAATTCAGTTATCATCTTGACGATCAACTTACTCTCAATAGAGTTCATTTTAAAATAAATTAATGAATCAATTCAATTAACATTTTTCAAACTATTTATAAAACATGAAGAGTTTTTTAAAATGAACTTTGGATAACATATTTGTGTAAATGTTATATAACAATATATGTTTCTATTATAAAAAAAAAGTTGTTGAGTATTTAGTTTAATTTTTGTGTAATTCAATTTTAATATTGTTTAAACATGTATTCTTTTTCGTTTCCAATATTACCAATAGTAACATATAATAATTTTTTGATGTTGGTGTCACAAAATAAAACTGTAAGTGGTAAACAAATGATTATAGCTAAATATTTCGACTAAAAAGTTTACCATAGCTAGATAATATGTTCTATTAACTTGTTTTTTCTATCCAAACATCTGAATTGAACATACACTTAACATCATGTATCAGCAAACCATATGAATTGTTTCAACTTTCAATTGCATAGCAATTGAACTGTTTTGAGATGTCTTTTTAGTGTAGCCCTTAGTGAGCTTTCACACCAGCTTGAGCTTCTTGGCAAATCGGATCGTAATACCCGAACCGGAGGTTGACTCTTTCCTTTTAATTCATTCACGTTTATTCACTGTGTCATCAGCATCGTCACTCTTCTTCTGAAGCGAATTCTTGTACTCCTCTCTCTGCAACCGAACCTCATTCAGTAATTTCTCAAATACTCCCTAGTAGAAATCGGAATTGCTTGTCAGCTCAGCGTATTTTTCCTTAGCGATGTTCAATTATTTCACAGTGTCATCCCTTTCTCTCTGCAAAGAAAGTTCAGACCAAGAATTTTGAACATCTGTAAGAGTATATAAATAGAAAATTTGAAATATAATCTTACCTGACTTTGAAGCAAGAGTGTTCGGCTATATTCCAGCTCTTGGGCCAATTGGTCCATGGCAGTCTTCAAAGCGGACATTGTAAGATGGTTTAAAACAAAAATATAGCCTCTGGTTTTTTTATAAAAACCAAAGTCATAAAGATTTATTTTTACTTTTACTTCTACTTCTTATTCATATATACAATATTATAAATAAATTTGTTTTGCTGAGAGCATAGTTATAATTTATTTTTCTATCCGTTTATTGTTTGTTTTATTTATAATTTTGAATTCTTGGTAAATAATGAGAATGCATTTACAAATGATATAATTTTTTTATTATTTTAGAAATAAGACTTATTTAGTTTTAATTTAATCAATCAAAATATTTTATTTATTTTAAGAAATTTGTCATGTCACATTTCCAGGTCATCATTAATTTTCAACAACTTTCTTCTGATTGCAACACATCAGCTTTTTAATTGAAGGTACTTGTCAAATGATATTAAGGATACTAAAACCTCGAACTAGAAGCCGAGCAAGAGCCAGAACTCTCAATCAAAGAGTAGATGACCTGATCAATCATGGTATGGCAGCAGACCACGACTAATTTCACGGGTCCGAGTAAACGAGTAGCATCCGCAGTATATGTGTAACATGCCATTGCCAATAAATTGAGTATCTCACAAATGAAGTCCAACAGTGCGTAGGCATTAGATTTCAGTTGTTCGTCATTTAGTTCCCCGGGCCTACAATGCTCTTGAAAACAGGTTCAAGAGTAGTGATCCATCACTCAAGACCCTTGGTGATTTCAATGACGCCATCCCGAGTGGTACTCTACAGAGACGCATAAAAATGTCTTTAGAAATTTGGAAAACTCACTCGGTCGCTGATCAACGAATAAACAATCGTAGTAAGTTTCCCGCAAAATGACTCTAGATTCTCACCCACAGCGTCCTTCAAGTTTCTGATTTCAAGCCAAGCTTAAATGGAGTGGGATGTCATATTTTAACTGCATTTCATCAAAAAACTTGAATGATTAAATAATGACAAACACCAATACAAGTGCACTGAATGAGAATGTATCACAAAAAGATGATTACAAGTTGTAATGGATTCGAAACTGTTAAACTTCCCCACATTAATGGTGAAAATCGCCACATTGTCATAGCTATACAGCCAGATTTTCAAAATTGAGAAAGGAAAGATTATAGAACAAACAGTAGAAAAAGTCTCAAAATTCAATGGGTGAAATAGATTATAATCCAGATAACAATCCGAACTAACATTTAAATGGAATCAAATCAAATTCAACTATCAACATTATGTCAAAATCAGAGACATAAATCGACAACAGTTAAACACAAAAATTCATATTTAACCCAAAAAAACCAAGTTACATACATATGATGATGACTGGTTTCTGATTTTTTTTTTCTTCTTCTTCTTTGAAACAAGTGTTGTTCTCAGATGGGAAGAATGTTGCCGGGTCCCAAGAATAACAAGAGGCTGAAAAGTCAAAAAGATTATAATAAGTGATATCCATAAATGGGTATGGCCATTGTAGTTCAATCCATGTAACATTATTATTATAGGCTAACAACAAACTCTCAATTTATTTCATCCTTATATATGTATAAATTAATGAATAAATTCAATTATCATTTTGACGATCAGCTTAGTCTCAATGGAGTTTATTTTAAAATAAATAAATGAATAAATTCAATTATCATTTTTCAAGCTGTTTATAGATTATGAAGAGTTTTTTAAAATGAATTTTAGATAACATATTTGTGTAAATTTTGTATAATGATATATGTTTATAATTATAAAAAAAGTTGTTGAGTATTAATTATAATTTTCAGTAACTCTTCAGTTTTAATATTGTTTAAACATGTATTTTTTTTTTATTTCCAGTATTACCAATAATAACATATAATAAAGTTTTTGATGTTGGTGTCACAAAATAAAATTGTAAGTGGTTAACAAATTATTATAGCTAAATATTTCGACTAAAAAATTTACCATAGCTAGATAATATATTCTATTAACTTGTTTTTTCTATCTAAAGATCTGAATTGAACACATACACATAACATTATATAGCAGCAAACCACATGAATTGTTCCAACTTTCAACTGCATAACGATTGAACTGTTTTGAGATGTCTTTTTGTGTAGCCCTTACTGAGCTTTCATACCAGCTTGAGCTTCTTGACAAATGGGATCATAATCGAACCAAAGGTTGGCTCTTTCTTTTTAATTCCTTCACGCTTATATATCGTGTCATCTGCATTCTCGTCACTCTTCTTATGAAGTGAAGTCTTGTACTCCTCTCTCTACAACCGAACCACATGCAGTAATTACTTTTAATTCTACTTTTTATTCATATATGCAAATATTATAAAAAAAAATTGCTAAGAGGTTTCTTATAATTTATTTTTCTATCCGTTTATTTTTTTATTTTATTTTTAATTTTGAATTCTTGGTAAATAATGAGAATGCATTCACATATGATATAATCTTTTTTATTTTTAAAATAAGACTTATGTAGTTTTAATTTAACCAATCAAAACATTTTATTTATTTTAGGAAAAAATTCATGTCACATTTCCAGGTCATCATTAATTTACACTAACTTTCTTCTGATTGCAACACATCAGCTTTTTTTCATTGAAGCTGCTTGTCAAATAATATTAAGGATACTATAAAACCCGAACCAGGAGCCAAGTAAGAGCCAGAACTCTCAATCAGAGAGTAGATGATCTGATCAATCATGGTATGGCAGCAGACCACGACTAATTTCACGGGTCCGAGTAAACGAGTAGCATCCGCATTACAGGTGTAACATGTCATTGCCAATGAATTGAGTTTCTTACAAATGAAGTCCAACAGTGCGTAGGCATTAGATTTCAGTTGTTCGTCATTTAGTTCCTCAGGCCTATAACGCTCTTGAAAACAGGTTCAAGAAGTAGTGATCCCTCGTTCAAGACCCATGGTGATTTCAATAACGCCATCCCAAGTGGCACTCTACAGAGACATATAAAAATGTCTTTAAAGAATTGGAAAACTCACTCGGCTGCTGATCAACGGATAAACAATCGTAATAAGTTTC